GACACAGTCGGACAGTTTCATATCAGCTGTCCGTACTGGTGGCAGAGCACTTATGGTTTATAACCGTATGCAATGTCGCCGGTTCACATCTCCCGACTTTACTTTAACCTTTACCTTATCTACCTCTACCCCCCCCCCCCCCCTTTTTCCCATTTCTTATGCACGTGTTGCAATTTTATGTCCATGTTCTTCTAGGACTTACCATCTATGACACTGATAGCACAAAGTTGGTACCAGTAGCGCAATAATCAGCTGCTTTTTTTGTTTGCATGCGATATATTTGTGCCTCAAAAGTGGCGCCTTTTTGATAATTTATCATCTTTATTATCAGCATCAGAGTCATGTAGTATTACGCGAACTGGGTATATGGTGCGTTTTTTTCCTGTAAAACAGGCAATAGGGAACATCTTGGGCATTGTCAAGGACAGCGGAAGAACAAATGAACCAATGAACGAACTTTATTTTCAAAGGGTCATACATTCGACTTTTTCAACACTCACCTCTCATTCCCAAAGGATGTTGATGTTTTTGTCATTCTTGGCCCAAGGTATTCTTAGAATGTTTCTGTAACTTTTCAATTCAAAAGCTGTGATGTCTTTCTTCCATGATTCACACCCACAGACTGTGAAGGAAAACATATATGATCTCAAAATTTTGATTTGCTACGTCTATGGGTTTGAAAAAAAAATCCTTCCAGAAATGTACAGCTCGATCTGTTGACACACAAGCAGATACCTCGGAGTACTAAAGTGAATCTTATCAGAACTATTTTTTGGCCAACACTATGCTATCAATGCCAAACGTGGACACTTACATCCTCCAATGAACGTAAAATTGTGACAACAGAAATGAAAATGCCGTAAAAGAGCTGCAGGAGTTTCAAGTGAAGACAGAGTACGAAATCATGAAATCAGATGAGTGCTAGGAATAAAGCCAGTCTTACAGGTCATCAAAGAACAACAATAAAGTGGTTTGGACACCTAAAAAGAATGCCCTGGTACTATCCGCCACAGCGAGCCACACTAAAAAGTTACAACGGGTATAGAGCGAGTGGAAAACCACTGAAAATATGGAGTGATGGCATTAAGAACAGCCTTAAAGAACATCAGTCTTAATAGTGCTCTTGACAGAGCTCATCAACGAGCATTACATCTCCCCCCGACACTTCGATGAGGTACAAGGTGGAAGAGACGAAGAGGATCTGCTGTGTACACATGTTTAAATGCTTGTGTACACATGTTTGAATGATTGTGTACACATCACTTAACCTCATTGCACGCATCCATTAAGCCGGATGTACATATGCCTATTGTTGGTCAAGTAGAAATCAATAAGTATAATGAGCATACACTGGTGAGCCGTTTTATGAAGCATAGTAGCATAAAGGATAATATGTTTCCTTAAAGATAGAATAAATCGCTTTCATTGAATGTCAGAAAGAGGGAGCTAAAATGTTACATAGAACCTGTTCTGCTGTATGACACCGAATTTTGGAATATCTGTGAACAAATTAGGAAGAATTTGAAAGCAACATAGAGGTCGGTTTCTGAGACGAATGTTACGAATACCTTGAACGGCCAGAGTAACTAACAATATCTGTGAACAAATTAGGAAGAATTTGAAAGCAACAGAGAGGTCGGTTTCTGAGACGAATGTTACGAATACCTTGGACGGCCAGAGTAACTAACAACAATTGCTTGAAAGAAGCTAATGAAAAATAGGAAAGGGACAAACAATGTTCTTTGGCCACATAATGAGAAGAGAAACATTGGAGAACATCGTGACAACTGGAAAGATCAGTGGGAAAAGGGGCAGAGGCAGACCAAGAGAGATGATGTTGGATGGGTTGAAACGATGGCATGGAGGGATATCATCAAGAGCTGTTCCATACAATCAGGGACGTGATCTGTGGAGACGCATGAGCACCTACGCCAGCTGGCAGAGCACATGATTGTGATGACGAAACACAGAATGTCAATAAAATGGATGAAAAATGCTGGTGGCTCCATCTGTTAGCCTCGGCTTTCAGTGCACACAGGTAACTCCGTAAGTGTTACTAGTCTTCTGCTTTCATCATCTTCATGTGCCTTGCCGACTGGCATGGGCGATCATGTTTCTCCAGAATCTGCGATCTTCAACAGCATGCATTAGCCTGTTCGCGTGCTGACATCCCTTCATGCCATGACAAAAAGCTGTCAGTAATCTTCTCTTATTGCCTCCCTCTTTCTCTTTTTAAAAACAGATCTGCTCGGTATTCACCCCATGGGAGTCGCCGTGGCAGAGCGGCTAGACGCGCGCCGCGAATCGGAAGGTCGTAGGTTCGCTCCCTGGTGGAGCCGAACTTTTCTTCAAAAATGACTTTGGCTAACAGGTCGACCCAGCCTTGAGTGGGTACCGGGTGCAGTCCCGGGAAGTAAAGGCGGCTGGCGTGATGCTGACAACATCACCTATCTTGTGCCGTTGATCTATAAAATATAGGTCTAGCCCTATACGCCCTATACGCCTAAAGGCGTGGTAAAGGGTCCTTTACTTTTTTTTACTTATTAAACACATGCTCTATTTCCTTTTTCTCATGCACGCACATATTGTTTTTTAGGTCTCTTTGTGTAGCTGTCCCATATAGCTTTTACAGACTGGTCACTTACCGATGGCCTACCCGAATTCGATTCTGATTCCTTTCAATACAAACAAATTTAAAGATCGACCACTTTCTGACGGCTGCTAGCTAGCCGTGGCTATATTTGTGGTCTGTATTTTTTTTGCGTCACTTTCTTGACTAAAGTTCAGGTATTTGCGCCGTCACTGGGCTTAATTCTTCCTTCCTTCGAGTCAGACAGCTAGTTCTCCACCCTGTTGTTAGCTGTGTTCTTCTTACCTTTTTCTTCCTGATGTTTCCTCTTGGTTTCATCTCCCTCTGATTTGGCCAGGCATTTTTCGTAGGATTGCGAGCTTCTCAACTTAACGTACTTTGGACCACCATTTATAGTTTTAAAATTTTGAGTATTCTACTTTCAAAAAAAAAAAAATTACTTGTAATGACCCTGCTTTGCATGGTCTCCACGAGTACATTGTGGCCAGCGGAAAGTCCGTGCTACAAGTGACAGCACGAGATAATTGGGTCTAGTCGAGGAAGCGAGGGGAAGCCCGAGCTAGACTCGTGGTCAGTCGATCATCAGAAGTAAGAGAAGACGGTTGTAGTAATTAAAGATGTAGACTTTATGTCCCGCGAATGACTAGTTTGAATATATCGCAAGCGAGGAAAGTGTGAATAATTGTTGGAGCATGTCGAATAAATGTAACAGAATAAACTGATAGCGTGAACAAGGAAGCTGAGCGGCGTTGTGTTATCAATCCTAGACGTTAGAGCAGTGCCAATTAATCATCCAGAGAGTGAGCCATGGCGAGAGCAGATATGTCGTAAGCCAAGGTTCATTTCAGTACTGAAAACAGTTTTTGGGTTTGGATAGATCCGAAATGTGAAAATATTCCGCAGATGACCATAGTGGTCTTATATTTGACTTCCTGCAATAAGAACGAGTTAATCGTGTCGTGGAGATGTCCACCAAAACGGGGTTTGTACAATACACGGTGTTATTGTTCGTCCATAACACGCGATGGTGACCAATCCTTTCAGCAGCGAGCAGGTCGGAGATTTATGAATGGTCAGCTGGCTGATTAGACAAATACTGGCACGAATGGGTCTGGCCGAAAAGATGATGTCTGTGATGAATTTGACTTTAGTAATAGGGATGCTAGTGAATCCAATGGTACCTCATTTAAGCCTTTAAGTCGATTATAAGCGGAGATATTAACATTTTAGTGGCGGATACAGACATATTATAGTGGAAATGGACAAAACATGGATTCCCGGCTGCCACCCAGTAAGTCGAAATGACTCAATGTATGCATCTCTCCAAAAACTCCTAATAATTGTTCCGATTTGATCTTTCACGTAAAGAGCAAGGAAAATAGTTTGTCAATAACGGCTAATTCGGGCTGGTGTTCTGGGTCGCCAAGGCGTCCCTAGTTACAGATGAAAAAAAAAAAAACTTAACAAAACGACCCATTGCTATAATTAGGGAAGAAGAGTTGTGCAAACTTGTCACCTCCCCCCATTTTCTGCCTTTTCCCGTTATTCTCTCTCTCTTTCTCTCTTTCTCTCTTTCTCTTTCTCTCTCTCTCTGTCTCGCACTCGCACGCATGTCTACGAGTCCAGCTGCAAGAAGAATCAAGACGTCCAGTGATAAGTCCAGCTGGAATGGATGACCAGGGCGTCTTTTGTGAGACAAGAAGGTTCTGGTTGGTAGTCGCCATTTTGTATTTTAAACCATACGAAGTTCATAGAGACGGTTCAACACATACACATACACACATGTACACACACCCAAACAAACACACACCCACACTTCAACACACACACACACACACATATATATATATATATATATATATATATATATATATATATATATATATATATATATATATATATATATATTAATATCCAGAAGCCATGAGTTGTTAACCCTTTGGCTCGATACTATAGATATCACAACCGTTCGACCTTGATTCCATGATAGGTACTGTAAATCTGGGAGAAATGTGGCTTTTCTGCCTACCCCCGGGAATGAACCCGGACCACAAGGAGTTCGTCACTCGGTCACTGCTCAGTCCGGTTTAGCCAACTACGCTAGAGAGCCGGGCAAATATATATATATATGCTAATGTTCTTTACTGATACATGTTTTCGAGCATAAAGAGACACATGTTTCATAATATTCTATTTATTGTCCATCTTTTGCAGAAATTACATAAACGCCACTGATGAATTCAGGCCAAACACAGAAACCTGCCTAAAGTAAATGGAGAAACAAACACATCAGAGCCATCAACACAGACTGCCCAGATCTCAACAAATACAACTCGGAATCTATCTAAACAATTGCAATCTTTTATTTATCATCACCGTGTCCGTTATCTGTCTAACAAACACCCGGGTTATGTCCACATCAATGATCATACGAAACCAACCACCGCTCCGCTACATCCGGTACGGTGACCTCAATATTGGCAGTATCATTTCCGGTCTGGACTACAGTGTTGATGGTCTGTGTGGAAACAAACCCTTTGTGAATGCTTCTTTTCATTTTTCGGAAGCTATTGCCTACGCTATTGATGAAGTCAACAAAAATAAAGAAATACTCCCAAATGTGACTCTGGGATTTGTTATTCTTGATGATTGCATGAAAGAGACAACAGCAACGATACAGTCAGTGAGCTTTGTCAAAGAACTCAATGGATCCAGGAGGTCGGAGTCGACAGACAACAAAACTTGTTCCGCTTCAGGGATCGATGCTGAATTCTGCGACGAAGACTTCGATATTCTTCCTTCCTATGATGTTGTTGGCGTGATCGGGTGTTTACGTAGTTCTTCCTCTTCCTCTGCCTCCATGGTTCTGGGGCCAGCTCAACTGCCTCTGGTCAGCTTTACTTCCACGAGTGAGATTTTAAATAACAAGGAGTTGTATCCTTACTTTATGAGGGTTGTTCCCTCGGATAATTCTCTGGTAAGTCAATCAGTGATTCATTCAATCAGTCAGTCGAGCCCTTAATTCATTTGGACACCCATCCACGCATCATCCGTACATTGATCGATCCAAACAACTTCTATTCATCCACCAATCAATCCCCCATCTTTCTTTCAATCCTTCCATTTATGTATACATCCTTCCATCCATTCCCCAATTCATTCATCCGTTAATCCATACATTTATTCATCCATCCATCCATCCATCCATCCATCCATCCATCCATCCATCCATCCATCCATCCATCCATCCATCCATCCATCCATCCATCCATCCATCCATCCATCCATCCATCCATCCATCCATCCATCCATCCATCCATCCATCCATCTACATCCATCCATTCATTTACATCCATCAATCCATTCACCCATTCATTCCTCCATTTATCCACCCATCTGTCTGTATAGTTAACATTAAAAGATAGACAAACAGTAGTCCGTTGCAGAGCATAACTTGCAAAGACTTGCTTGGCGTCTAGAAAAAAGGGCACCTGAACAGCGCAGACACGATAGAAAATCCCGGATAAAAGACCCTCTACTTACAGAAACCATTTCCTATACTAATTGTCCTAGATCCTTCTGGGACGGTTTTGGGCTTATACGTTACCCCAGGACCCACAATCACAGTTTTAACTTAAAGAGTAGTCTCGATCCCTCGATAACTTGATCAACATCTTGTGATGAACGAACAACATAGCTTGATCAACATCTTGTGATGAACGAACAACGTAACTTGATCAACATCTTGTGATGAACGAACAACATAACTTGATCAACATCTTGTGATGAACGAACAACATAACTTGATCAACATCTTGCGATGAACGAACAACATAACTTGATCAACATCTTGTGATGACCGAACAACATAACTTGATCAACATCTTGTGATGAACGAACAACATAACTTGATCAACATCTTGTGATGAACGAACAACATAACTTGATCAACATCTTGTGATGAACGAACAACACCACTTGATCAACATCTTGTGATGAACGAACAACATAACTTGATCAACATCTTGTGATGAACGAACAAAATAACTTGATCAACATCTTGTGACGAACGAACAACATAACTTGATCAACATCTTGTGATGAACGAACAACATAACTTGATCAACATCTTGTGATGAACGAACAACATAACTTGATCAACATCTTGTGATGACCGAACAACATAACTTGATCAACATCTTGTGATGAACGAACAACATAACTTGATCAACATCTTGTGATGAACGAACAACATAACTTGATCAACATCTTGTGATGAACGAACAACATAACTTGATCAACATCTTGTGATGACCGAACAACATAACTTGATCAACATCTTGTGATGAACGAACAACATAACTTGATCAACATCTTGTGATGAACGAACAACATAGCTTGATCAACATCTTGTGATCCTTTTCAGCCAAACTGCATAGAAAACGTTGAATGAAGAATCGACATCATAGCACTCTGGACACTCCCATAAGCACTCCGTCCCCATCTTCAGCAGCGAAGGAAGAGTTCCAATTCCAATGCCACCAGTAACTTCATAATTGTATATACGCAGGAGAATGGTGTCGCAATGAGTTACCAGGAGATACAGCCGACGCTTAACACCCGATGGAAAGGCGAAACGGACACACAATCAGAATATCACTGGTAACACAGTAATTTGTATCCCTCATTTGCTGCTGAAGATGGAGATGGAGCGCTTATGGAAATGTCGCTAGTGCTTTGATATCGAATATTATAACTCATAACTATTATAAAAGTAAGCTTCGTTTGTTTAAAAAAAAAAAAAATAAGAAATGCATCTACTATCTCATTGTCCATTTCTCTACATGGCCGTTAATTATTGTATGCCAAAATTCAAAGCTTTGGCCTCGTTTCACTGTTGGCTCCCGATAAGGTCCCTTTCTGTCATGCCACGAGCAATACACACATAATCGGGTTTGGTTGATCCGAGATCTAGCCTTTCATGTTTGCTCAGAATTATGAACACACGATTTGCTCCTGCTGGTGTCTTTATTTCCCCTTGGCTTAAAAAAAAATGATATGAGCTGTGAAAGGGAAGTTTACTCTGTCTTGAAGTTCTACTCTATTATCTTGAAGTTTTTTTTTTTTTTTTTCATTCATCTTGAAGTTCGACTGCGTGTATCTTGAATTTCTACTTTTCTTGAAGTACTACTGCATTTTGAAGTTCTGCTTTTGAGGTTTAAGGCTTTGAACAACGGATCAACATCATGGTCCACGGGTAGTAACCCCTTGGTGCTCCGTTCTTCTTTTAACTCAAGTCTGAGTCCGAAGAAGTTTAGCACAGTGCACAGGCTCTGTAGCACCGGCGAGGATCCTGAAATACTTTGGATATAATGTTTAACTACAAATTTTGCCCCGGCAGCCCCGTTAGGCTACTCTTTTCGATTTCCAACAGCAAAGGGATTTATTTTTACGTGCAAAAAATTGCACACGGGCGTCCGATCTCACTACCCAGAGACCAAGGAAAATTACTAGAAGTTCAAGTCCACATGAAAAAATTCCAGCCCTCTAGCCCTCGAGGCGGACCATGCCTCGAGACCACGACCCCCCCCCCCCCGAAGTTCTGCTGTATATATCTTAAAAGTATTCGTGCTGATATTACCTACATTTATGACTCATACTTACCTATCACATTCCTCTCCCCAGGTGGACGCTCAGGTGGCACTAATTCGTCATTTTGGCTGGAGTTATATTTCTGTTGTTTATGACGAAGGCACTTTTGGGGAGAACGCATTCCAGGTAGTTTATCTGTCTGTCTGACTGTGTGCCTACATATCTCACCTAACCAGAGATGTGAGACTAGAAAACTGTACGAAAGGAAAGATATACTTCTTCTCCGCTCTTAGTCTCCCTCGTGCAGATTCAACACTAGCTCTGTTGTCTAGGTGTCGTGTCACAGTTCATTCCAGCCAAACTGCTCTTCTCTCCAACTCTCACACGACTCTAAATGACATTCGATGACAGTTGACAGCGATTCATGGGCTTATTATCAATCCAAACAGCAGCAGGAATCAACAGTAGAACTAATCTCTTACGCCATTTACGCCATTCGCCTTGCTCACGCTCCAAGTCTCCAGCCACGCTTCAGACGATGGACACTGGCATGTACACGACTGTCATAACCAACAGGCCATATAACACAACTGCTGTCCTAAACAGTTATTCAACACAGCTCCGCTCCTTGTCGTTCAGGACTAACCTTCACTCGATTCTCCTCCAGATCCATGTGTCCACTTATCACTCTGGATTCAATTCCACTTCCTTTAACTCCGGGGTCCAGTCACAGAATGAGCACCTCATCTGCAATCCCCCAGATCTTGAATTCACACGTGAATTGCTCCATTATGTCGTTTCACTATCTCCCCGTGAAATCCACGCTACTAGGGACTTTACCAGTTCTGTCAGTCAGCCATTTTCGTATGACCCATGATCCTCACACTAGGGACTTCCCCAGTTATGTCACTCATTCATGCCCTGACGTAATCCCTTTTTATAGCATAATTACATACAAATATAGATAATAGACGGGTCTCGGTGCCCATTTATTTCCCTTTGAAAATAAAATGTGTTCGTTTTAAGATGCCTTGAAAAGATTTGGTACTGCGCAGTGACCGGGTGACAAACTCCTTGTGGTCCGGGTTCACGCCCGGGGGTAGGCAGGAAAGCCAGATTTCTCCCAGATTTACGGTATTTATCATGGAATCAAGGTCGAAGAGTTGCGATATCTATAATACCGAGCAAAACGATTAACAACTCATGGTTTCTGGATACTTGAAAAAAAAAAAAAAAGATTTGGTCATGGATCACCCCTGGTGAAAGTAGCCACTATGTGACGTAAGTAAAGAACCCCTTTCCACACCTTAGGCCTATTGGGCATATAGGGCTAGACCTATATTTGATAGACCAATCAGACCTTGGTGGGAGATGTAGTCAACACCACGCCGGCCGCCTTTACTTCCTAGGATAGCTCCTGGTACCCTCTCAAGGCTGAGTCGACCTGGACACCAAAGTAATTTTTTGTCTGGTTCCGTCAGGACTCGAACCCACGACCTTCTGATTAACAGTCGAGCGTCTAACCACTACACCACGGGGTCTCCAACAGTAGCTACTAAATACGATGCAAACTGGGCTCACCAATCTTTATATTGAGACGATAGTGTTATATTGTGCTATGAGGAGGCATGTGTCTTCCACAGCTGGCCATGGCGAGTGTGACTAGCAAGACACACCCGCGTTAAAAAAAGTCTTCCACAGTTACATCATGGGATTCCAGCCCTTGGCCATGGCGAGTGTGACTAGCAAGACCCACCCGCGTTAAGAAAATTCTTTCACAGTTACATCATGGGATTCCAGCCCTTGGCTATGGCGAGTGTGACTAGCAAGACCCACCTGCGTTAAGAAAAGTCTTCCACAGCTGGCCATAGCGAGTGTGACTAGCAAGACCCGCCCGTGTTAAGAAAAGTCTTCCACAGTTACATCATGGGATTCCAGCCCTTGGCAATGGCGAGTGTGACTAGCAAGACCCACCCGCGTTAAGAAAAGTCTTCCACCGTTACATCATGGGATTCCAGGACTGTTGTTGTCAACATTTGTACTGAGTGTGCTTCTCGTACTTTCTGCAATCATTTCTTTCTTCGTTATCGTTAACCTGCCTTATGTGTCCGCTCCACTCAACATGGTCCATGGCATTTTGTTCTAAAGAGTGTACTACTTGTATCATTCATGTCCCATTTGCACACATCTCTATACCGTAGTAGAGGTCGGCCTCGTCATCTTCTAACTGTCTTTAATTTATCATAAAGGATGTCCTTATGGACTCTGTCATCCTCCATTCTTCAGATTTCGCATTGAGACAACCGTTGTTAATACGTGCTCTTTCCAATGCCTCAGTGTTTGTTATCTTGTCCTACCACTTGATGCCGCACGGTTCTTTAGCGTAGTTGGCTAAACCGGACTGCGCAGTGACCGGGTTACGAACTCCTTGTGGTCCTGGTTCACTCCCGGGGGTAGGCAGAAAAGCCACATTTTCTCCCAGATTTACGGTACCTATCATGGAATCAAGGCCAAAGGGTTGCGATATCCATAGTACCGAGCCAAAGGGTTAACAACTCATTGTTTCTGGATATTTAATAAAAAACTTAATGCCAAGTATTCTTCTTAGACATGGCATGTGAAAACTGTTAAGCCGTCTCTCCTGGTGCAAATCCAGGCCCTGATGGAGTCAGGTAGGGTCACATGAAGGCTTTAAGCGATGTAGACCTGGCGGAGATGGCCGACTGTTTTAACCAGAGTATTAAGACAGCATCAGTACAGCAAGACTGGGTGCACAGCTATCTAATCCCACTACCAAAACCTTTTAAAGATCATTCTAAGCTTATTGGTTTTAGAATCATCACCTTACAAAACAGATTTGGGAAGGTCTTGGAGAATATAGTTGCTGTAAAGTTTTAAGAATTTTTGGAAAGGGGGAAGCTTCTCCCAAGAGGTCTGGGAAGTTACAGGCTAGGGAAGGACACTTGGGCAAATGCGGCCACTTTTTCTTTTGACGTCTATGAAGGGTTCCAGAACAGACAGGAAACGATGGCGGTAGGACTGGATCTCGAGGATGCTTATAACAAAGTGAGATACGATATCTTAATGACTGCACTGAGGGAGAAGAAGGTCAATCCGTGGCTGGTGAATTGGGTTGCAGCTGTCCTGTATTCATGTCGGGTTGCTCTCCGACTGGGCTCATGGACCTCAGAACCATGCACTTTGGCCCTAGGACTGCCACAGGGATCCGCTATCTCGCCTGTGCTCTTTAACGTGTATACGAGCAAGATTGCATGCCTAGAAGCACCCGGAGTTGGAAGGATACTGACTTTTGCGGATGATATACTTGTATATAGGCAGGGGAGAGAGGGAACAAACAGCCCGGGAGCTACAAGCGACAGTAGACAAAGTGACTGAGTGGTGTACAGAAATGAAGGCTGTCGTCCACCCGGAAAAGGTGTCTGTTTTGTGGTGTTCTCTGGACAACAGAATCATTAAAGCTAATGTCCCAAGTCTCACGATAGATGGTAGAGACGTCAACAGAAAGAGCAAACTGAAGTATATAGGAATTACATTTGACAGGAGCCTGTCATTTAAGGACCATGTGGAGAGTGTTGTGACGAGATGCCAAAAAGGACTTAGTGCACTTAAGACTATGGCTGCAATTGACATAGAGCAGAGAATGCTTTTCACACTATATCAGCACCTGATCCTGTCAGTGGTGGATTATGGCCTGGGACTGCTTACCGTCTAAAAGAGTAAGATGGACAAACTAGAGCGCATACAGAACGCGGGTATGCGGGTCATTCTGGGTTGCACCAGAGATACCCCAGTGGTGTGTATGCGATACATCCTTGGTTTGCCGACGGTTGCAGGTAGGCACAAGGTGATGCAGGCGAAGTCATATCTCAGGGTAGCTGCAGACACAGACCACCCTCTGCATGAAGCTCTGGATGCAGTTAGGGGCCGCGGCTGATAAGAGGGAGGCCATGGATGGCTCAGGCAGAAGACACAATCAAACAGGTTTGCCTCCTTGAGAACATTAGGCGAGGAGAGGAGTGGGTCAAAGTGCTACCTGAACAGTCAGACTTGTGTAGAGTCATAATCACGCTAAGCCGGAAATGCAGAGACTGGCCAGCAGGTGCCATAGAGGTGGAAATTCAGCAATTAATTCAAGATAATGCTCGCTCAGAGGATTTGATCATTTACACAGACGGTTCAGTGTCAAGAGACAAAAGAAGTGCTTGGGGCTTTTAAGCAAAAGTTATTGGTTGACTTTTGGTGTAGGAGAGCCTAGCATATGATACTACAATATCCAGCTTAAGAATGGAGGTGGAGACGGTCACTGCAGCTTTCCGCTGGCTAAAGAACACGACACACACACACACATTGTAATTGTAACTGATTCAGAAAGCATGCTGAGGAAGATCAGAACAGGTATGCTTCGTGCAGAGTGGCATGCTTCGCTACGGAGGACCCGAGTGAGGATTATTGTCTGGATTTTTCACCGGGTTATGCCGGTGTGTTGGGGAATGAACAGGCGGACAGACTGGCTGGCTCTGCACAACTTGGTGGTATACTGCTACATGATAGGGCAGACGTGGTTAGTGCCTTGTGGGAGAGCGTGTACAATGCGGAGGAGCAGATGGATCACCACAGTTTGGTGAGATTGATGCAGTTGGGGGTGACGAGAGGTTGTGGCAGAAGCTCAAGGCTCAGAGGAAAGGCAAGACGGACATTTAATTAGAAAACTACTGGCACCATTAGTATCGGAACTCTTCGCTGGCTGCTGAAGATGGGGACGGAGCGCTTATGGAAATGCCCCGAGTGCTGTGATGTCAGTTCTTGAATCAAATCAAATCAAATCAATCCTGGTGCAAATAAGTTGACCAAGTTTCACTGCCATAAAGCAGAGTGCTGAGGACACAAGCCTGGTAAACAAGAGTATTTGCTTTAATCGGGACTAACCAATCACATGCAATAAAGGGGGTAAGAGAGTTAAATGGCTGGATAAAAGATCCTATGATGTTCTTTGCATGTCAAACATGGTCAATCAACAGACAAGCTGAAAAAAAAAAAAAAAAAAAAAACAACAGAGACATGTGGGGTTTGATAAGAATCCAAAGAATACCATAGAGCGATAGAAAAAGAAATGATGCAGTTCTCCTTGAGACAGATGAAAGTCGTAAACAGTTTGAAGAAATTAGATATAGTCTGTGTTTGTGAGTGTGTGACAATGTTATGAGAGTGAAAGGACTCAAGAACTTACAACGGTCAAGATTGGTGGAAAAGGAGAAAGAGGAAGGTAAAGAGATAGCACCTGGATGGTACACCGTATATATGGCATTCTAGTGATCGTGTGAGATGGCAAACAGCCTCTTATCGACGGGACATACGTTGGCGATGAACTGCGCTTCGTATCTATACTCATGATCAATCAGCAAGTCCCTTACAGAACGTCGCTCTCTTCATGGCACGCCCTGAAATATCCCTTTCCCTAGCCAGCTCTCGGGTCCCATGTGCTGTCAGTGCCCATGCATAGTCAATGTCTTCTTTCCATCTTCGTGATGGTCGACCGCTGCCTCGCCTTCAACAAACTGCACCTTCCATCACCGTCTTTTCCAAGCCACCATAACACTTGATGTGGCCAAGATACTTTAATTTTCGGGACAGAATGCTGTTTATGAGCCAGTTCTCCTTGATGTTCAACTCGCTCAGAATGTCGATGTTTTTCCTCTTCCTGATCCATGGTATTCTAAGACATTTTCTCTAACATTTCAATTCAAAAGCTCCAATATTTTAACTGACTGACTGACTTTCTACCCCACCAGGACATCACACAAGCGATAAACCACCGATGACACAAAGTGCCACCATGTGGATGAGGATCGCCGTGGAGAGGTCTCAGAAACCGCATTCAGACAATTGGCCTTATTGATGGCCTGCCTATATTGCTGCCCCTGGCAAAAGCCAGGGTGGGGCTTCAAATAAAAATCCTCATCCACATGGTGGCACTTTGTGTCATCGGGTGTTTGTCGTTTGTGTGATGTCCTGGTAGGGTGGAAAGTCAGTCAGTCAGTCAGTAACCCATAATTGATCCGTTCTTTCTTCTAACTCAAGTCTGAGTCCAAAGAAGCTCAGCACAGTGCACATGCCCTGTAGCACCGGCATGGATCCTAAAGTACTTTAGGTATATATTTAACTCCAAAGTGTTGCCGAGAAAGGGCCGTTAGGCTACTCTTTTTTTATTTCCATATGCCAAGGTAATGCACAATAATGCACACATGCGTCCGATCTCACTACCCAGAGACCAGGGGGGGGGGGAATTATTAGAAGATGAAGTTTAGGTGAAAAACAAACAAAACAAACCCCAACCTAGCCTTTACCGGAAAATGAACCCAGAACCTCTAACACTCGAGGCGGACACCTTGCCTAGAAACCCCGCAGCCCTCCAGTAAATAAAGAATTAGGTTCAGTCTATCAAGTGCACAAAGCTAGTAAGTGTATAAATATACTTCTCGCCTGCAGTTGCTGTACGGTAGATTCTTCAAACTTTTCAATCTGCGGTACTGAAGTAAGTCTTTGACATTTGACTTAAACGAAATACTCGTTAAATGCTCATGCCCTTTTGTCTCTTTTTTTTTCTTTTCAAATTACACATATACACACACGTGCGCGCGCACACGCACACACATAACATGTTTTTGCAACTTTAAATGTGCAGGCATTGAGAACAAAGTTGGCAAGTTTAGAGAAAGTCTGCATTGCCACGTCGCACCAAATTTTCCAGAAATCTCGTTACGAGGACTTTGTGCGGATTATGGCGGTAGGTCTGTCATTATCATCATCATTATCCTCATCACCATCATCATCATCATTGTACTACTCATCATGATCGTCGTCATTATCATCATAATCCGCATCATCATCATAGCCGTCAAACCATCAGTATCATCTTATTATTAAGAGGTAGGATAAAGCAAAAGAGGAGGAGAAGAGGAGTAGGAGGAGGAGGAGGAGGAGGAAGAAGAAGAAGAAGAAGAAGAAGAAGAAGAAGAAGAAGAAGAAGAAGAAGAAGAAGAAGAACAACAACAACAACAATAACAACAACAACAACTACTACTACTACTACTACTACTACTACTACTACTACTACTACTTCTACTACTACTACTACTACTACAACTATAACTACTACTACTTCTACTACTACTACTACTACTACAACTATAACTACTACTACTACTACTACTACAACTATAACTACTACTACTATAACTACTACTACTACTACTACTACTACTACTACTACTACTACTACTACTACTACTACTACTACTACTACTACTACTACAACTATAACTACTACTACTACTTCTACTACTACTACTACTACTACTACTACTACTACTACTACTACTACTACAACTATAACTACTACTACTACTACTACTACAACTATAACTACTACTACTACTACTACTACAACTATAACTACTACTACTATAACTACTACTACTACTACTACTACTACTACTACAACTATAACTACTACTACTACTACTACTACTACTACTACTACTACTACTACTACTACTACTACTACTACTACTACTACTACTACTACAACTATAACTACTACTACTACTTCTACTACTACTACTACTACTACAACTACTACAACTACTACTACTACTACTACTACTACTACTACTACTACTACTACTACTACTACTACTACTACTACTACTACTACTACTACTATAACTACTACTACTACTACTACTACTACTACTACTACTACTACTACTACTACTACTACTACTACAACTATAACTACTACTACTACTACTACTACTACTACTACTACTACTACTACTACTACTACTACTACTACTACTACTACTACTATAACTACTACTACTACTTCTACTACTACTACTACTACTACTACTACTACTACTACTACTACTACTACTACTACTACTACTACTAACTACTACTACTACTACTACTACTACTACTACTACTACTACTACTACTACTACTACTACTACTACTACTACTACAACTATAACTACTACTACTACTACTACTACTACTACTACTACTACTACTACTACTACTACTACTACAACTATAACTACTACTACTACTACTACTACTACTACTACTACTACTACTACTACTACTACTACTACTACTACTACTACTACAACAACAACTACTACTACTACTACTACTACTACTACTACTACTACTACTACTACTACTATAACTATTACTACTACTACTACTATAACTATTACTACTACTACTATAACTACTACTACTACTACTACTACTACTACTACTACTACTACTACTACTACTACTACTACTACTACTACAACTATAACTACTACTACTACTACTACTACTACTACTACTACTACTACTACTACTACTACTACTACTACTACTACCACCACCATCACTACTATAACAACTTCTAGTACAACTGCAGCACCTCCTGCTACTACTGCTGCTTTTTCTACTACTTTCTTGTGCTAATATTACTATTACTCCTCCTTGTTGCTGCTGCTGCTACTAATACTGCCGATGCTGTTGCCACTTGTATTATTACTGTTGCTACTGCTGTACCTACTACTACTACTGTTAGTGTTGCTGCTACTACTACCACTACTATTACTATTTATACTACAAATATACTACTACAACAATAACTAGAACCACCGCTGCTGCTGATGATGTTACTACTACAACAAGAATCAGAATCCCTATATTTAATTACTTCAGTTATCACCGTCATTTCATGCACCGTCAACGCCATCATTTCCTAACTCTTCCCGACCTCTCATTTGTATTTCTTTCAAATCAAAAAGTCCTTTACATTAGTTGCCGCCTCTTGCATCTTTAAATCCCAATCTATATCCTGGTGAATTTCCGTTCCTAATTTTACATTGTCTCATTCTCCTATTGTGATTTCCTATTACATGTTGAAAATTATTGGTTCACTGCGTGCATGGCGCTAAAAAAAATTAATTGTCCGTAAATATTGAAATATTTCAAGAGATGTAAAGATAGTTTTGCGTGCCCGTTTTCGTGTTTGTTGAAATAAGCAAACTTTTTGATTTATTTATAAATATTGAAGAACCCCTGACCGAATGTTTATGTGTATGTTTATTCAGTGCATCAACATCATGGCACACGGGTGCAACCCATAGGTTCTTCGTTCTTCTTCTAATTCAAGCTTGAGTCTGGAGAATCTGAGCGCAGTGCACGAACTCTGTTGCACCGGCGAGGATCCTGAAATACTTTGGGTAGATTTTTTAAACTCCAAATTTTGCCCGGGCAGCGCCGTTAGGCTATTCTTTTCAATTTCCAACTGCCCAATGCGATTTTGTTTAACGCGCGCAACAATACACACGGGAGTCCGGTCTTACTACCCAGAGACCAGGGGGAATTACTGAAAGTCCAAGTGCACGTGAAAAAATCCCAGCCCTTACCGGGGATTGAATCTGAAACCTCTAGCACTTGAGGCGGACACCATACCTCGAGACCACGGAGAAGGGTAGAGACAGGCAGGTTCCATGCAGAGTGGCAAGCATCACTTCAGAGGACTCGGGTAGTTAGCATCCTTTGGATATTTTCTCCAGGTAATTCCGGTGTGTTGGGAAATGAGCAGGCAGATAGACTGGCTGGTTCTGCACCACTTGGTGGGGAACTGATGTATGACAAGCTGAATGCTGTGAGGGCCCTTTGCCGAGTAACAGACGGATCATTAGGGGCTGCGGAGAATAGCAACGCTAGGATTTACAAGGACATCTGGCCTACGCTCGACACTCAAAGGAAAGGCGAGCTGTTTGCTGCTGAAGATGGGGACGGAGTGTTTGTGGAAGTTTCGCAAGTGCTATGATGTCATTTCTGAATTCAACATTCAACATTTGTGTTCTGAAGAAGTATGTACATCAACTTTAAACGATACAAGCAAGATGTCGATATCCTTGTTTCGATTTCGTATTCGATATTAGAAGTAGACTGAGATAATTTAGAAATTTCGAAGAGCGGCTTGCATAACATTTTTTTGTTGTTGCGTTCACTGGCTGTGAATTCCAGTGGAAGGTCCCGGTTAATCGTCCGCTTGGACTTTTGGCTTTCACCCGGACCTGATTTTTGCGTGTACAACCGTTTTTCATTTCCCTGCCTCATGGGCAGCTGTACTCCGACTTCGAAGGAAGACGTCAGGCCTATTTCTAGGTTGACTGTGGCCATTGTTTTGTGTGGGTCAAGACGTTGCCTGATTTGTGTGGAGTCCACTTTGTCTCCTTCTCCGCAGGTATTGCCCCCGTAGTACCCCTTTTGGGCAGCCCCCTGTGGAACAGTTAGCCCTCAAGGGAAGGCAGGGGCAGATCATGGGCATTCCCCGCCATCCAAGGAGGCTTCCATGTATGCAGAGCCGGCACATGACGCTCTGGTTCTGGGCTCACCCAAGGAATCGTCACGTCCTGCACATGCCTGCTTAACCTCACAACCGTATCAGGTCTCCCGCTCGACAGGGGCTGCGCCCTCTGGAAGTCAGCGGGGAGCAGCCCGTGGGTTTTGGACTTTTGTGACCACACGAATAGGTACATTATTTTTTCTTCGCACGTTAGATTTCTTGTTAGCCTGGCAGAATTTTACATCCTGCGTCAGGCATAGCGTTGTCAGTTTGGTCCCAACACTCGGGCGAGTGGAGTCTTTGGGTGTGGACATTTGGTGTTTTCCGTTCAGTATAAATTGTGGTGGTCATATTTTGAGCACACTCGTGCGCCGTAGGATCTAGTTTTATCGGACATTTAGGCTTAGCCAGCCAATGGGCTGTTGCTGTTGTGGTGTACCTCAGCGCGGTGACGACGACACTGAGGGTTAACCGAGGATGTACATGGCTGGTCATCCTATGTATGGTTGCTGTTGTGGTGTACCTCGGCGCGGTGACGACGACACTAAGGGTTAACCGAGGATGTACATGGAAGGCCCGCCTATGTATGGTTGCTGTTGTGGTGTACCTCAGGGCGGTGACGATGACACTAAGGGTTAACCGAGGATGTACATGGCTGGTCATCCTATGTATGGTTGCTGTTGTGGTGTACCTCAGCTCGGTGACGACGACACTGAGGGTTAACCGAGGATTTACATGGATGGTCATCCTCTGTATGGTTGCTGTTGTGGTGTACCTCAGCAAAGTGACGACGACACTGAGGGTTAACCGAGGATGTACATGGATGGCCAGCCTAGGGATGGTTGCTATTGTAGTGTACCTCAGCGCGGTGACGACGACACTGAGGGTTAACCGAGGATGTGCAGTGAACAATGTTCTCTTCACTCCGCATTCTTTTAACCAAGGGTTGTGATTTTTAGCTGTACGTTTGGCAAGCATACTCATGTTCCTAATGAGTTTTGATAACCTTTTTTACCCAAGCGTTTGGGGGCGGGCTGATGAGAGCCACAAGGACACATCACCTCTGGGGGCCTCCAAACTCCGAGATCCCCTGACAGCTCTGTTAATGCTCCTTTGAGACATTATCCGTGGCGCACGACGAGGACATGCTGCAGGGGTCTTACGTGAGGTTCCGTACAACCAGAACAGTGAAGGACTGGCGCCTGAGTGACGTACGGAGTATCTCCTTATACACATCATGTTGGACTTGACTTCCCCTCACGCCTGTGACATAAATCACCGCGCCACGCATAACATTTGAAAACGCTGGACTCCGAGCAGGAGACCCGTGTTCGAATCCTCCGTAACGTCGAGATTTTGTTCTGCTGTGGAAGAAATAAAATGCTTACCTGCGCAGTCCGTGGTGGCCCTCCGACCCTCAGTCTTCAGACCCAAAGTCCCCGCCCACACCCTAAATTGGGTAAATAAATGGAGTAATTGAAAATTTTTGACAGTTTAATTTCCAAAGGACATGATATCTATTGTCAGTTAATGTTGTATATTTTGGGCAAACAGACTCCGAGGAAGTAAACACAAAAAAAAAAAAAAAAAAAAAAACACACACACACACACACACACACACACACACATCAGAGAACGTCACTGACTTAGTCTTAAAACCTATATAAGTCGTATATTGATATACTGAAGTAAATCATGGACATTTAGTAAATTAGCAAAAACTTATTTGGAAGCTGTGGAGATATAATTTTATAGAATAATAATGAGAATACCCTGGATAGATGAAAAAGAACCTGACTCACGAAGGGAATTGATTGCCCAGATCAAAAAGAGACAATCTACATTCTTTGGTCATGTGATGAGAAGGAGAAAACTGGAGTACGTCGTGACGGTAGGAAAGCTGGAGGGGAGGAGAGGCAGTGGGAGACTGAGAGAACAGATGCTGGACAGTTTGATATCATGGCATGGAGGATCGTCTGTGTCAAAACTGACTGAAAATACACGAGACAGAAGGTTGTGGATTGACATGACTACCAACGCCACACGGCATGGACTATGGAATACCATTGGTGTCAGAACTGACTGAAAGTACACGGGACAGAAGGTTGTGCATAAACATGACTACCAACGCCACACAGCATGGACTATGGAATACCATCGGTGTCAAAACTGACTGAAAGTACACGAGACAGAAGGTTGTGGATGGACATGACTACCAACGCCACACAGTACTTTGAGAAGAATAGGAAGAAGACGTCTTGATCGAGTTACAACTTCACTGCAGTTACTTTCTGAAAGTACTCAATTAGGTCTTCGACTGACCTCCCGCCAAGTCGTGGCACGTCATTTCAGCCCATACTTCATAATCTAGAATCGATTTACTCTTCCGCCCCCGTAAATCATGCGGATAACAATGGCGAAGACGAAGCGGAAAGCTTGCGCGCACGTGAAGGTAATATCGATTCTTACAGTTAGCTTGTAATGTTCAAATCTCTTTTTCTGAATTGTGTTCTTTAGCATTGGAATGGTTAGCAGCTTTGCACTGCCGTTTAATTGTAACATGTTCGAACCTCCCTCGAAATTTGTTTTCTCTAATCGTGCCGTCTCCACAGTGAACGTTGACTTCAGGGTACCACTTTTGTCTTTAGGAATGTTGCATGATAAAACTACTAATTTAGTTCATAGTTCCAGTCTCGTACTAGTCTCTGAAAACCATGAAAACTGTTTTTTTTTTAACAGTCTATCGCAAGAAACGAACTCTAGTACTGGGGGATCATGGTATTGTTAAGGGGCCACTACACGGCATTTTTTTCCAATTTATGACAAAAATATCACTTTTTCAATGTGTTCGGTTTTAAAAACACGCTCAAAGTAAATAACCTATACATGTACCGCTAAATTTAATTAAAATTCATTAATCTATCATCTATTGTTTAATAAGTATGTTTGTTTTTGCTAACCTTTGAGGTTTTGAGGTTTCGAACAACGGATCAACATCACGGCACACTGGTAGTGACTTATAAGTGCTCATTTCTACTTCTAACTCAAGCGTGAGTCCGAAAAAGCTCAGCACAGTGCACATGCTGTGTAGCACCGGCGAGGTTCATGCATTACTTTTGGGTTGATTTTTCACTCCAAATTTTGCCCGGGCAGCGCAGTTAGGCTGCTCTTTTCGATTTGCAACTGCCAAGGGATTGTTTACGTGCGCAACAATTCAGGCGGGTGTCCTATTTCACTTCCCAGAGACCAGGGGGAATTACTAGAAGTCAAAGTCCCCGTGAGAAAATCCCAGCCCTTACCGGGGTCTGAACCACAAACATGGACGCCCCCTCCCCACTCCACTCCCCCCCCCCCCCCCAAAAAAAAAAGGTATATTTATATATACAAAATCAAAGTTACCAAGATTTAACCTGCGAGTTGACTACACTCTGGTGATCTTTGTCCCGGCAGGACCTGGAGTTGCACAAGAACGCCCGCGTGGTCATCTCCTACACGGACCCGCCCAGCGTCCTGCAGCTTCTGAAGGCCAGTCACGCCCAAGGAACGGCTGGAACCTTCATCTGGATGTCCAACGAAAGCTGGAAAGCGGCCCTTGGGGACACCAATGATGAGGTAGGCTAATTCTTGCTTCTTACGCCTGTTTTTAGCAACAACAGTAAAAAAATATGAACAGACACAGCAACACCACATCAAAAGCAACCATTGAAACAACAAATAAAATAAAACAAGCAGCAGCAATAACAACAACGGAAGCAGCAAGAATAACAACAGAAATAACAACAACAGAACCAGCAGGAACAACAATAACAAAAGCAATAACAGAAACAAAAGAAACGATAACAGAAAAAAAAAAGCAACAACAGAAACACCAACACAAACGCAAGCAATAAGACATACAGCTGCAACACAACAGAAAAAAAAGCAACAAGAGAAACAACAACAATAAAACCAACAACAACAGCCACAAAAGTAGAAACAACACCAACAACAGCCGCAGCCATAACAACAACAAAAACAGTAGCCACAATAAGAAGAAGAAGAAGAAGAAAAAAACGAACTTAACAGCAAAAACAAATTGAAATAACAACTAAAACGAAAAGGAGAAAACTGGTGTACATCGTGACAGTGGGAAAGTTGGACGGAAAAAGAGGCAAAGGTAGACCGGGAGAGAAGATGTTGGACAATTTGACTTTATGGCATGCTTGACCACCTGTGTTAGAACCTACTAAATGTACACGAGACAGGAGCTTGAAGATGGATGTGATTACCAAGGCAACAAAGTATGGAAAAACATTGGTGTCAAAATTATTTTAATTTACACGACAAAGAAGGATATGGATGCACATGACTACCAACGACACAAAGTATGGGAGACCATCTTCTTCTTCCTCGTGTTCACCACTCTGGCGAAAAGTTCTGGTTGCTCGTCCACTACTGAACTGCAGTCCTGCTCCAGAACCTGAGTGTTGCGTGTGCATCAGTTTTACAGATCTCTTTCTCTTGAATACAGACTGTTGATTCCTTGCCTCTCCGGCAGATGCACTCCGACTTCAAAGGAAGCTCCCCAATTAGTCGACTCTTACGAAATGCTTTTGGGGAGGCAGTGGGTCTATTCTTGTTTTCCCGACAATGGGGCCCCGGAACCCATACAGCTGTGGGAGATCATCTGTGTTACAATTGACTGAAAGTGCACGAGACATACCAACCTTACTCGACATAAACTATAAGAAGGTCCTGTTCGCGTTTCCCGACCTATCTACACCCTACCTGTCCTTTCATTCATACTTTCTCAGATGAGTGTCACGTTGTCTTCTCTCCAATTACATCAGTGCCCGATGTTCACGTGTTCCATATTACGCAGCTTTCAACTACCCCAGAACTGGCTCTAACCCAAACCCCCCTACCCAGAGACTCAACCTAGGTCACACGAGAGACTCTTCGAAGAAAGCAGTAACACGTAACACCACTGTGACCTAGATCAGACTGCAAAAATGTGTAGATGGGCCGGGAAACGTGAACAAGTCCGAAGACGAAGTAGATTTACCACGTTCGCTGATGTAGCACACGTTTAGGAGGAGAGGTTCACGGGCCTGAGGATTCAACCCCCCGTCGCTAGTACGGCGACCCCCGGTCTCTAACATGAGATCCAACGTTATTATTGGCTTGACGTTTCCCCTAGTATTCGGGGACCCAGGTTCAAACCCAGGTGAAGACTGAGATTTTTTCACATGGACTTCTAGTAATTTCCCCTCATCTCTGAGGAGTAACATCGGACGCCCGTGTGTATTGTTGTGCACGTACAAAAATACCTTGGCAGTTGGAAATCAAAAAGTGTAGAATCATAAAGGAGCTGCCCGGGCAACATATCGAGTTGGAAATCTACCCAATGTATTTCAGGATCCTTGACGGCGCAACGGAATTCGTGCACTGCGCTAAGATTCTTCAGACTGAGACTTGAGTTAGAAGTAGAATGGAGCAATTATGAGTTACTACCAGTTTGCCATGATGTTGATCATTAACATAAACATCCTCATAGTATTCATCAACTGCTAAAAAACGCAATGTTTATGAGCTTTCGACACTTCTGCAGGACCTCATCCGAGCCGCTGCCGGATGTCTGGTGTTCGGCTTTCAGGCTCTGGTGTCTCCGCCTTACAACAAACACGTGCTTCGGATGACTCCAAGCAACAACCAGAACCCTTGGTTTACCAGGTAACGCCATCTTGTCTGTTCAGCCTTGGTTTATCAGGTAACGCCATCTTGTCTATTCAGCCTTGGTTTATCAGGTAACGCCATCTTGTCTGTTCAACCTTGGTTTACCAGGTAACGCCATCTTGCCTGTTCAGCCTTGGTTTACCAGGTAACGCCATCTTGTCTGTTCAGCAGACCTGAAGATGCAAACTCCTTCCCCGTCATTCAGTAGGTTCTTTACAGAACGTCTCGCTGTAGGCACTTTTCTTTTTGTTCACCCCCATCTCATGGACTCCGAAATTTCATGGAGAGTTCCCGGGAAAGTCCAATATTATAGGGGGGAATAAGGTTAGTGTTAGTGTTCATTTGACACCCTAACATCCCTATACTTTAGGACTTTCCCGAGAACTCGTCAAGAAATATCGGAGTCACCGTGGTGTGGTGAATTAAAAAAAATGAACCTCGCTTTCTGTAGCAAATTTTCCAGCCGGGTGTGCTTTTCGTCAGGAGCCGTCGAGGTCTAGCGGCTATACGCTCACCTTCGGATTGGAAGGTCGTTGGTTCGGTTCCTGACGAGGGCCGGATTTTTTTCCCCACCAACGACCTTAGCTCCCAGGTCGACCCGGCCTTGAGTGGGTACCATGTACAGTTTAGGGAAGTAAAGGCGGCCGACGAGATGCTGACCACATCACACACCAAGTGCCGATTGGTCTATAAAATACAGGCCTAGCCCTATATGCCAAATATGCCTGAAGGTCGTGGAAAAAAGTCTTTTACTTTTTATACTTTGTGCTTTTTTTTTCGCATCTGCATCTTCACTTCTTTTAGGCAGTGCTAGATTTAGAGCACGAAGCTAACCTAGCTGTAGCTTGGGCCCCTATGTTATGTTATGTTATCACAATCGAGGTCTCTGCCCATTGGGCATTCCCATGCGTGCACAGTCTTCCGATGCAGCAGTTACTCCTAGGTACTTCCATTAATTGTTTCCATGAGAAGCTGGTTACATTGTCTCCAATCTCGGCCTCGAAGACGGCATAGACGTGCTTCACCATGCTTTACTCCAATGTCATGCAGTCATGTTAGTGTCAGGGATCCTCATTATCCATTAGCCCAGTCCACACAGCGTTGACGATATCTGCTTTGTCCTTGCTTGGTAAACATCCACGGGCCAGGAATGGATCAAATACTTTGCCGAGGTACCGCCGTGTTTTTATTATTATTGGAGCCAAACCGGCAGAGTCTAAAACGGGTATGCGTACCCAATTCTTAACCCTTTGAAAATCAAGTTTGTTCGTTCGTTCGTTCTTATTTTGTCACTTCACTGATACCATGTTGTTGCTCAATGTCGTGGTCTGTTCATCCCTCCCCCTCCCCCCTCCCCCGGGCCTAGAAAATTGGATCGCCAAGAGTATTAATATGTTTTCTCATTGTGGATCATGATATATGGACGAACTACAGCTTTTAATTGTATATTTTCAGATTTTGGGAGCTCACTTTCAAATGCTCAGTTACCGACCCTGCATGTATATCTGCACATAAAGTGGAGTCCCTCCCTGGAGCGACCACTTTCACCTACGCAAACAACGCCTATGAGGCTGTTCTGACGTACGCCCATGGGATTCAGGCTCTGGTCAACAGTAAATGCCCTAACGCCACTGGACAAGACATCAAACAATGTATTACTGGCCCAGATCTTTTACAGGTAATTTGCTAGTGATTAATTGCGGGACTTTCCTGAAATCTAAGATAGCAACATAAAGACATCTTTCCCCCCCCCCCTTCTCACCTTACTGGGAACATAACGATAGACTCATATTTTCATGTAATGATAGACTCCCGGTATATTATGGCGGATAGGCTGGCCAGTCTGTTTGACTTTGACGTTATTTTTGTTTCTAGAAGTGTTTTACAAAATAGTGTCTCCATATGGAATGAAGTCTGCGGATTCACTGTTTAAGCTACTGAGTTAAATGCTTGGTGCAGCACTGTGAGCTGTGTGTTTCGTGTGCAGTGCCTTTAGTTTCGTACCCACAGTGGTTGTGTCATGATTTTAAGACAACAGCGAGAAGTCGGTTTTGCGACCAGGCTAGCGAAATGGAATAATTGTGGGTGTGAACGGCCAGACTATTCTAACTTACTACTTGCTTCCATCAACAACGCATTGGAGTTCTGGTGGCGACTGTTGGTACTGGCATCCCTGGCAGCAGCCTCGTGCATTTTCTGCGTGTGCACTTGTCTGGATTTTGCCGGGACTGAATGTTAATTCACTACTTGTCCAATCTGACAGTCACCGGGCATTTCATTTGGTTTCTAATGCTACAGGCAAAAAGCAGCAATGGGAAAGCCCGTTTACAATGAAGTTGACACCTCGACCACCGCTAAATTCATTTTGTTTTTTACATTAAAAAAGGCACTCGAAAGGTAAAATCCTCAACATCATCTAGGCCGCCTTTACTACCATGACATTGCCTGGTATCCAGTTTACCCTAAGATGGCATGGGAGTCTTTATGAAAAGCCGCCCTTGAGAATTGGAAACCTAAATCTTCGTCTGAAGAGGCGAACATCTATCATCTACACTTGGGCGACATTTTCTATAGAATAAATGATTTATAAAATTAGTCTGTTGATAGGGGTCACAACAAAACAAAAGAAAATTAGTAACCAAGGAAATGGGGTGTCCGAGAAAGGCTGTGCGAGTGTCCAGAAGAGATATATTCAGGAATGAGGTCATACGAGATAAATTCGGTACAGAACCAATTCTAAATTACATACAAAGACAGCAAATCAAATGGTTCGCCCACTTGGAGAGCATGCCTTCTGATGCTATAACATACAAGACATATATTAAAAGAGGAGAAGGAAGTAGAGCATGAGGTAGACCAAGAACAATATGGGAAGATAACATCAGATAAACTCTACAGCACTATGAAGTGTCTATGGTTAAAGCAGTCAAAAGAGCACAAAGGAGGACCTTATATCTCCCTCGACACCCGAAGCGGTAAAAGAGGACGTAAAGAAAAAGAGAAGAAGAAGGTGATAGGGAAACTGATAAAGATATTAAAATACGAAGACAAAAGGCAGGATGAATTTTTATAGTATAAGGAAGTTGGGGAACAAAAGAGATTCAAACTGTTACTTTACATAAACAGGGGCACACTTAAAATATTGTGTTCCAGTGTCAAATCAGTACAGCTGTTGGGAGCGGAAACACGGAGAATAACTGAATCAACTAGGAGTAAAGTAAACAAACTCATTAACTGTTGTCGGCGCAGAACAGAGGACGATGGAATCACTAATGCTGAGCTTTTTGAGAGAACTAACATTCCAGTGGATTAAGAGGTGAAGAAAAGACGCTGGCGTTGGACAGGACACATTTTAATGTGCTAGCGGAAAACATGAAAGTAGGGGAAGATGAGGTCAAAGAAAATGGCATGTGTTGGCCTTTTTATGCTAAGTGGCCAGGTTTCGTCGCATTTGCGAATCAAACTTAATCAAGGTATTCGTCGTAGCCCGGCTACATTAGAAAAACATGAGCACAATATCCCTAGAATGTCTTTGCACTGGAACCTACAGGGGAAATAAAGGCAAACCAAAATCATACATAGAAGGGAACTAGAGAGTGGAGTTAGAAAGATGGTGATGACATGGGGAGAGAGACATGCGATAGCGAATGATATAGCGTCTCTAATTATGTCTTCTTCGATGTCCACAGACAATGAGAAAACTGAAATTCCACGGACCTACAGGAGAGATAGAGTTTGATCAAACAGGCAGCGTAGTGGCAAAGATTCAGGTAGAGCAGGTGAGATCAGATTTGCTCGTCTTGTCTACCCACTTTTTTTCCCCTTCTGTGTACCCTCCAGTGACATAAATGTGCTTTTTTAATGCTTTTCCCTCTCCTTCACGTCCTTTTTTTCAAATAGAAGTCGTTCCCTTCAAGATAAAATTTTTTGTTGTTTGAAGCCCCACCGTGGCTTTGGCCGGTATCACTGAACATAGCCGGGCCATAAATATGACCTAGCCATAGATATGGTCTAACGACTGAAAGGGGTTTCTGGGACCTCTCCACGGGCATTCCTCATCCACATGATGACACGTTGTATCACCGGGTGTATAACTCTTGTGTGATGTCCTATTGGGGTACAACTACCTACCTAGCTTCTGGTGTGTAAGGACAAGAATATCATGGGTAAAGAAAAATTATCTTGGGTAAAGATAAATATTTTCTAATAGCCCATTTATTTATCTTCAAAATAATAATTCATTCAAAAACACATGTTCCAAATTAATTAAACTGTATTTCAATTTGTTTACAAATCTACTCGATAACAATTGTTAGCACAGACCGGCTACGCCAGCCTCACAAAAACGGGAATTACCGTTTGAGCTGTACGGCCTTATATCTGGAGCTGGCCGTGTGATAAGCTATAGCGGATGGTGGATTTTTACAGTATACTGTAAATATTGTAAGAAATGATGATCCAATAAAAACGATTTAAAAACATTGCGTTTAATGTGCTTTGTTGAAAATGTTAACACGTAGAAATTTCAGGGGGGGGGGGAGGTTGGGGGGGGGGGGACAAGTTGGGGGGGGGAACGGGTAGAGAGAGAGAGAGAGAAAGAGAGAGAGAGAGAGAGAGAGAGAGAGAGAGAGAGAGAGAGAGAGAGAGAGAGAGAGAGAGAGAGAGAGAGAGAGAGAGAGAGTATTGTTTCGAAGGTGACTCACCCTCCATGAAAGATACAGGAATCCTTTCTGGTGTTTCATATCGTATTTAGCAGGACTGCAGTTTAGTAGTGGACGAGCAACCAGAACTTTCCGCCAGAGTGTACAGCTGGTGAACGCGAAGAAGAAGAAGAAGATATTGTATTTGTTCACCACTTGTAGAGGGTTTAGGCTCTGGTGCTAGTACTTGAATGTTCAATAATTTATCATTGAATAGGTTAACTAGGCGCAACCTCTAAACATATTCTTACATTGGTCAGTAGTCCTAGTTATTCCAGTTTCCCATCCTTTCTCCCCGGTAACGATGTCTTCTGCAATCTCTTCCTTCTCGGAGAGCGTGTACAGTTCGGAGGAGCAGATGGATCATCACAGTCTGGTGAGATTGATGCAGGGGTGGGGGGAGGGGAGGCGGGGGGGGGGGGGGACGAGAAGTTCTGGCAGATGCTCGAGGCTCAGAGGAAAGGCAAGTCGGATGTTTAATCAGAATTCTACTGGTACCATTAGTATCGGAACTGTTCACTGGCTGCTGAAGATAGGGACGGAGTGCTTATGAGAAAGTCCTGATTGCTGTGATGTCGGTTCTTGAATCAACTCAACCCAACTCTTCCTTCTGCTGCTCGTAAAGCTGCTAAAGCTTTTGCTTTGTCGTCACAATCACGTGATTAGCACCTGCCAGGCGATCGGTTTCCGAACCGGCCTTCAGGTTCCGAGGCAAAATTTACTTGAAAATGTTTTCAGACATTCAGATTCCGAGTTACCACTTTAATGAAGTGTGTTTGATCCTTCTCTAGATTCTACCGTCTGTGGACTACCGAGGGCTCAACATTACCCCAGTTGCCATCTTCTACTCGGGGAAAGGAAAGATGTTCTATCTGCGTAATGTGAGCTTTGAGCACATTGATCAGCGAGGGTTTGTTGATGGCGTGCCAGAGTCGGTCTGCAGCAAGCCTTGTAGATCAGGTAAGTACTCGGGTTAATGTTCCTCAGTTGTTAGGGATGGACGTTTCCCGTGTGGCTGCTGGTGCCCTACTATGGGGGAAACAAGCTTGTCGTAAGAATAGACTAATTAGGGATTTCCTTCGGAGTCGAAGTAGCCTCTGACAGGAAAGGAGCCGGTTGTTGTCTACAAATATGTCAGAACTGTAGAACAGATTTACACTCAAAACTCCAATTCTTGAACAAGACTAAAGTCTTGAAGTGGACAAACAACTCGAACTTTTCGCCCAAGTTTACAGCCGATGAACAAGAAGAAGAAGAAGAAGAAGAAGAAGAAGAAGAAGAAGAAGAAGAAGAAGAAGAAGAAGAAGAAGAAGAAGAAGAAGAAGAAGAAGAAGAAGAAGGAGAATAGGAAGAAGAAGAAGAAAAAGAAGAAGAAGAAGAAGAAGACAAAAAAGAAGAAGAAGAGGAAGAAGAAGAAGAAGAAGAAGAAGAGGAAGAAGAAGAAGAAGAAGAAAAAGAAGAAGAAGAAGAAAAAGAAAAAGAAGAGGAAGAAGAAGAGGAAGAATAAGAAGAAGAAGAAGAAGAAGAAGAAGAAGAAGAAGAAGAAGAAGAAGAAAAAGAAGAAGAAGACGAAGAGGAAGAAGAAGAAGAAGAAGAAGAAGAAGAAGAAGAAGAAGAAGAAGAAGAAGAAGAAGAAGAAGAACAAGAACAAGAAGAAGAAGAAGAAGAAGAAGAACAAGAACAAGAACAAGAAGAAGAAGAACAAGAAGAAGAAGAAAAAGAAGAAGAAGAAGGAGAAAGGAAAGAGAAGAAGAAGAAATCATCAGTTTGAGCTAAGATTCCCTAATGAAATCCCAGAGTTCTACCCGCTCAGGCACACGCTGGTCAGAGATAGTAACCGTGTGATGGTTTTCCCCTCAGGTCAGTTCATCATCGCCAAAGAAGTCGTCTGCTGTTGGGAGTGTAGGTCGTGCAGGGCCAACGAGATCTTGGTCAACGACTTCACCGACTGTTTCCTCTGTCCTCTTCTGGAGTGGCCTGATCCCCAGGTAACTTGAACCTTCTTGTGTGTAAGGATCATACAGGTTGATCACCGTGATTCCCCTGTGAGGGATCCGGAGCTCCATTATGAAGAAAAACAAGAATAGAATAGAAGAGCCCGTTTTGAAGATCCCTTCCTGCCCTGACACTGCGTGGCACTCCAGAAGTAAGGTCCCCTTTTTCTTCGTACTCCAGGAGTAGAGAATAGAAAAAGAAAAAAGAAGAAGAGGTCCCAGATGCCACGCAGGCTGAACAGTGAAAAGATACATATTATTACTTTGCGCTAAATGGCTGTGAATTGTGGGATTAAATGGACAAATTAGATATAGCCTGGAATGCCAAGGTGTTAAGCCATACATATATCTGAAGAAAAAAAATGATAGGAAAGATCCCCGTGTGGGTTTCGGGGCCCTATTGTGGGGTGAAAACAAGATTAGACCCACTGCCACCTCAACAAACATGTCGTAGGAGTCGACTAATTGGGGACATCCATCGAAGTCTTACATCTGCCAGACAGGCAAGAAGCCTCAAGTCTGCGTACAGATAAGCCAGATCTGTAAAACGGATGTGCATGCAACACTCAGGTTCTGGAACAAGACTAAAGTCCGGAGGTGGACGAACATAACATAACTTTTGGCTGGAGTTTACAGCCGGTGGTCGAAGAGAAGAAGCAGAAGCAGAAGATTTGCTGTGATTTCAAATTGTTGTTACAGAGAAGGTGGATGTAAACGTGTTTCGTTTTGATTCTTTCAGATTTAATTAATCTTTAAAGACTTCAATATTCTTTTTAGATCATCATCATCATCATCATCATCATTTGCTCTGCCAACTGGCGTAGGCGCTCATGCGTCTCCACAGATCACGATCCCTGGTTGACTGGAACAGCTCTCTTGATGATATCCCTCCATGCCATCGTTTCAGCCCATCCAGCATCGTCGCTCTTGGTCTGCCTCTACCTCTTTTCCCACTGATCTTTCCGGTTGTCACGATGTTCTCCAATGTCTCTATTCTCTTTACGTGACCAAAGAACAGTGTTTGTCTATTTCTTATTGTTTAAATCGCGACGAATTATTATCGATCACTAACATGTGTGGTATCTTTTCTTTCCACCAGACCAACTTCACAATCTGCGAGGCCATTGCTCCTGACTACCCACAAGGAAGTGACCCGGTAGTGATTCTATGCCAAATTCTGGCAGCTGTGGGCGTGGCCCTGGTCGTTATGGTAACCATGACCCTTGTCCGGTACCGGAACGCTTCCGTCATCAAAGCATCAGGGCGGGAGTTGAGCTGTCTGCAACTGTTGGCGATTCTCTTGGGTAACTTTCCATTCTATTCATTAACGTCAGACTACAGAAGACGCTGCAACTAGATTGTATATTAAGTCAGATGCATTATTTTATTTATTCACAGTTCAGCTCACTATTATTATTGCGTGCTTTCCTAATATCCTACCCCAAACAGGGAAATCCACAGGTCACGGGAGAGTCTAATGTTTCAGGGGGTGGTAAATAGGCTACATGCATTCGTGGGACCTAGGCTGCACTCTCTCGTTGGACGTAGGTGGGTTGGAGTTAGGGCCAGTTCTAGATGTTTTGAGGTGGTTAAAAGCATCAGAAAGCCGGGAAAACCCTGTCTTGCCACTCTCTAAAATGTTGGACTGTCCTGTGTCGTCATCTGAGGTAGGATATTACGATTAAACCTACTATTGTCTTAAACTAGGGCTGAGGCCCGCACCTAGAGAGTGTGCCAGGTTATGAGTGTCAAACATGGACACTGTTGTCAGAAGATAGAACAAAAATAGTCGTAAAAGAAATCAAATATTTACGTTTCAAGCTAGATGTAACAAGGAAAGGGCATCTTAGGAACGATGGTATCAGGAGGAGAGTAGGCACAGAGGCAATACTGAAGTGTATCGATAGACAAAAGACCAAATGGTTTGACCATGCAACTAGATTGGTAATAGACACAGCCCCACAGAGAGCAGTGTTATACAGATACAGCGGTAACAGAGCCAGAGGTCGACCACGCAGATAATGGACCGCAGAGATTTCAGAGACACTGAAAAGTACTGATTACGAGGCCAACATAAGGAAGGGCTCGTTCCAGGGATCTCTTCCTGTCCTGACGCCGCGAGACATTTCAAGTGTAGAGAACAGAAGAAGAACAATGTGCTGGATTATCAGTCTCCAACCTGGTGGAGGGGTGGAACTTGAAAGGTGGCGTGATGAGATTTCAAGTGGACGTCAAACTTGGTGGATTTGTTTTTTCAAAAAATCCTTTATATTAATTTTTTGTTGTCAGTTTTTTTTTTTTGGTAAATACAATTTTTGCTCAAACTGTTTATATATAAAACAAAACCGCAAGGGCATATTTTGTTTTCTTCTTCTCTTCTTTCTTCTTCTTCTTTGCGTTCGGTTTCGTATGCTCAGATCAGACCTTCAGTTGGGTTGCCTCTATGAACTCGCATGACAGCTACAGGTTCTTCATTGTTCCCCATAGCTTGCTCCGTACACTTTGCTCTTGAGGCCAGATGTCTTTTCGACAAATCGTTTTCTTTTCAAAAGCAGTTTGTATATCTACAGTTAAAAATCTAATTGATGTGATAAAAGAGGCATTTAATTGTAGATTAAGAACACATTCTGACCAAAACGTATCTCCATACGTTCTGTTTCTCTTGTTGCGGAATCTACTGCCCTCCTCTTTTTAATTACATTTTATTAAATCGGGTGAGGGGGGGGGGGGGGTTTCGTGATAGTCTTGCTGTATACTCGTGGGGGGGGGGGGGGGGGGCTTTCCATATACTCAAAGGGGGCGTGGTGGTCTTGCTATACACTTAAGAAGGCGTGGGGGTCGTGTCATATACTCAAGGGGGATGTGGGGGTCGTGTCATATACTCAAGGGGGATGTGGGGGTCGTGTCATATACTCAAGGGGGATGTGGGGGGGTCGTGTCATATACTCAAGGGGGATGTGGGGGGTCGTGTCATATACTCAAGGGGGATATGGGGTCGTGTCATATACTCAAGGGGGATGTGGGGGTCGTGTCATATACTCAAGGGGGATGTGGGGGGTCGTGTCATATACTCAAGGGGGATGTGGGGGGTCGTGTCATATACTCAAGAGGGATGTGGGGGGTCGTGTCATATACTCAAGGGGGATGTGGGGGTCGTGTCATATACTCAAGGGGGATGAGGGGGGTCGTGTCATATACTCAAGGGGGATTTGGGGGTCGTGTCATATACTCAAGGGGGATGTGGGGGTCGTGTCATATACTCAAGGGGGATGTGGGGGGGTCGTGTCATATACTCAAGGGGGATGTGGGGGTCGTGTCATATACTCAAGGGGGATGTGGGGGGTCGTGTCATATACTCAAGGGGGATGTGGGGGGGGGGTGTCATATACTCAAGGGGGATGTGGGGGGGGGGGGGTAGTGTCATATACTCAAGGGGATGTGGGGGGGTCGTGTCATATACTCAAGGGGGATGTGGGGGTCGTGTCATATACTCAAGGGGGATGTGGGGGGTCGTGTCATATACTCAAGGGGGATGTGGGGGTCGTGTCATATACTCAAGGGGGATGTGGGGGGTCGTGTCATATACTCAAGGGGGATGTGGGGGGTCGTGTCATATACTCAAGGGGGATGTGGGGGGTCGTGTCATATACTCAAGGGGGATGTGGGGGTCGTGTCCTATACTCAAGGGGGATGAGGGGGGGGGGGGTCGTGTCATATACTCAAGGGGGATGTGGGGGTCGTGTCATATACTCAAGGGGGATGTGGGGGTCGTGTCATATACTCAAGGGGGATGTGGGGGGGCGGGGTCGTGTCATATACTCAAGGGGGATGTGGGGGTCGTGTCATATACTCAAGGGGGATGTGGGGGGTCGTGTCATATACTCAAGGGGGATGTGGGGGGGGGGGGGGGGGGGGTCGTGTCATATACTCAAGGGGGATGTGGGGGGGGTCGTGTCATATACTCAAGGGGATGTGGGGTCGTGTCATATACTCAAGGGGGATGTGGGGGGGTCGTGTCATATACTCAAGGGGGATGTGGGGGGTCTTGTCATATACACAAGGGGGATGTGGGGGGTCTTGTCATATACTCAAGGGGAATGTGGGGGGTCTTGTCATATACTCAAGGGGGATGTGGGGGGTCTTGTCATATACTCAAGGGAGCTTGGAGGTCTTGTCATATACTCAAGGGAGCGTGGGGGTCTTGTCATATACTCAAGGAAGCGTGGGGTCTTGTCATAAACTCAAGGGAGCGTGGGGGTCTTGTCATATACACAAGGGAGCTTGGGGTCTTGCCATTTACTCAAGGGAGGGGTGGGGTCTTGTCATATACTCAAGGGAGCGTGGGGTCTTGTCATATACTCAAGGGAGCGTGGGGTCTTGTCATATACACAAGGGAGCGTGGGGTCTTGTCATATACTCAAGAAAGCGTGGGGTCTTGTCATAAACTCAAGGGAGCGTGGAGGTCTTGTCATATACACAATGGAGCGTGGGGTCTTGCCATTTACTCAAGGGAGGGGTGGGGTCTTGTCATATACTCAAGGGAGCTTGGAGGTCCTCTCATATACTCAAGGGAGCGTGGGGGTCTTGTCATATACTCAAGGAAGCGTGGGGTCTTGTCATAAACTCAAGGGAGTGTGAGGGTCTTGTCATATACACAAGGGAGCGTGGGGTCTTGCCATTTACTCAAGGGAGGGGTGGGGTCTTGTCATATACTCAAGGGAACGTGGGGTCTTGTCATATACACAAGGGAGCGTGGGGTCTTGTCATATACACAAGGGAGCGTGGGGTCTTGTCATTTACTCAAGGGAGGGGTGGGGTCTTGTCATACACTCAAGGGAGCCTGGGGGTCTTGTCATATACTTAAGGGAGCCTGGGGGTCTTGTCATATACACAAGGGAGCGTGTGGGTCTTGTCATGTACTCAAGGGAGGGGTGGTGTCTTGTCATATACACAAGGGAGCATCGGGGTCTTGCCATATACTCAAGGGAGCCTGGGGGTCTTGTTATATACTCAAGGGAGCCTGGGGGTCTTGTCATATACACAAGGGAGGGGTGGGGGTCTTGTCATATACACAAGGGAGCGTGGGGTCTTGTCATATACACAAGGGAGGGGTGGGGTCTTGCCATATACACAAGGGAGCCTGGGTGTCTTGCCAAATACACAAGGGAGAGGTGGGGGTCTTGTCATATACACAAGGGAGGGGTGGGGGTCTTGTCATATACACAAGGGAGCGTGGGGTCTTGTCATATACACAAGGGAGCGTGGGGTCTTGCCATATACTCAAGGGAGCGTGGGGGTCTTGCCATATACTCAAGGCAGAGTGGGGGTCTTGTCATATACTTAAGGGGGAGGGGGCGTGGGGAGGAGGGGGGGGGGTCTTGCCATATATCCCCCCAAAAAGAGATGAAGGGGACAGTTGTAAGAAAAAGATTAAAGACACATACATATCCTTTTCTCTACAAGTGCTCTTATATCTCTAGGTTATCTGACGATGCCTGTTCTGACGGTCAAGCCTAGCAACCAGGTGTGCAGTGGTTCCTTCTTCCTCTACTGCCTCAGCTTCACCTGGGTCTACGCCCCGCTGCTTGTCAAGGTTTGTGGACGACTGGGGAAAATGGCGAGTTTCATGGGGGCGATAGTATTCTTGTCATGACGTGAAGGCAAATTGTCTCAATGTAAACTTGAGGGCTGCGTGGTCTCGAGTCATGGTGTCCACCTCGAGTGATGGAGGTCCATAGTTCAAGCCCAGGTGAAATCTTAGATTTTTTCACGTGGACTGCTAGTAATTTTCCCTGGTCTCTGGGTAGTAAGATCGGACGCCCATTTGTATTGTCTCGTGGCATTTGTAAATCAATAAATGAGTAGCCTAACGGCGCTGCCTGGACAAAATTTAAAAGTTAAAATCATTACTGGATGTAAGTGTCTGGCTTAGCCATGTGTGAAAGAAAGTTTCCTTCTCCAGACCTCTACCTCATCTTGGTCTCATGTGGCTTAAAGGGAGATAGCAACAAAATATAATTTGTTAAAAATTTACTTTTCATAGGATGTAAGAAGGAAATATTTCAAAGGGATTTAATTCCAGATGAATTTTTTTTTTAAACTGATTGTTGAAACAAATAAAAGAAGTGCAAAATAACCTGACCGCCAATATGACTGTTAAAGTAAACTTTGTAGATACAATGGCAATTGAAACTTTCACCCATGTATTGTTCACGGTTCCGGAGAATTTAACAGTTCATTTAAAATGAACGCACGAAATACAGAAAATGTTTGTGATTTGTTGTATAAAGTGTTATCACATTCATGTTTTATAACATACGGTTTGTAGGTGAGAGCCTAATATTTACGTCCTTTTTAGGATGACATTTGTTGTTTTTTGAAGCCCCACTCTGGCTTTTGCCAGGGTCCGCAATATAGGCAGGCCATAAATATGGCCAATTGTCTGAACGCGGTTTCTGGGACCTCTACACGGTGATCCTCACCTACATGGTGGCACATTGTGTCATCGGGTGTTTATTGCTTGTGTGATGTCATAGTGGGGTAAAAATTCAGTCAGTCAGTCCCATTGAAGGTCGCAATTTATCGTTCTTTTGAAGCTTCACTCTGGCTGTTGCCACAAGCCCTAATATAACCCAACGTATAGGTTGAACGGGGTTTCTAATACCTGTCTCCGGTTGATCCTCGTGAGATTGGTGGCACTTTAAGTCACCAGGTGTTTATTACTCGGTGTGATGTCCTGATGGACATAACTTGTCAGTCATCAGCTCATATTATCATTATTATTTAATATTATTGTTATTTCCTAGATTTTTGCTACACGTTCAGTATTTTCGGAAGGGTCAAAATTGGATATGTGACGCAAGAGTGGATACCAGGCACCGACAAGCAAACATTAGAGGGTCTCATGAGATTTATTGTCTGTGAAATGCAGGAGTCCGAGGAAAGGAAAGAGCAGATTTTCCGGCTGTGAAATCGATAACTACTGGAACACTCGTAGTGGGAAAAAAAAAACATACATTCTAAAGACCATTTATGAGTGAATGCAGACAGCAGATACGATTAGTGATTAGTGATTAAAAAGGATTGTCACCACAGCACTCCGTACAGATCCATAGTTGCTCCGATCTCCTCCTCAAAAGCTCCACAAGTGTAAAACGACTGATGACGCCTGTTCTGTGTTGGTTAATGAAACGTCTTGTCTCCCTAGCTTGGATTTTTCAAGCATCGAGTCACTAAGAACGCATAGGTGTGAAGTTTTGAGTATCAAGCCATGCTGATGCCCTTGTTACAGCACAGAAGATACAAGATTAGATTGAATAATATGTGCAAGAATGTGTGAACAAGAAACTAAGTGTGGATCCGACAAGAAGGGACGGATGAGAGGAAGAGAACGACAAGTGTATAATCAGTGTGTTAGGGGAGCAGTTGGAATCTACACCTTAAGAAATTTGCTCTAGGAGACGGAGCATCTATTGGTATGCCCGGTGTTCTAGCAAGTCAATCCTTAAAACTCTAATCCGACTATAATCATTATTTCATCATAAATTCATCATTCAGTCTTTAATTTCGTAACAGTATCGTCTATATGGTTTCATTATACCATCAACATCGTCATCAACATGATCATCATCATCATCATTATTATCCGTTATTATCCATTATCATCATCATCATTATTTTCCGTTATTATCCATTATCATCATCTGGTATATGTGAATCATTAAACAGTGGAAAGACCATTTATTATGTAAAATTTTACCTTTCAGGCAGTGAGAATTCATCGAATTTTCACAAACGGGAAAAGGTCAAAGGCGAAAGTCAAGTTCATCAGTCCAAGGTCGCAGATTCTCCTCACCTTTCTACTCATATCAGTTCAGGTTTGGTGCCATTATGTGTTGACAGTTCAGGTTTGGTGCCATTATGTGTTGACAGTTCAGGTTTGGTGCCATTATGTGTTGACAGTTCAGTCATATTTAGATTGTGTGCATTGATTCTACTTGCGTTTAGAAGAACACCCTTCCCCCATCTCCTTCGCCCCGTAGATTCCAGTGTAAGATCTTTCTGTTGACTTCTCTTTCGCCTGGTGAAAATTCTGACAAATTAGTGTTAATAGATTTTACCCTACTAGGACATCACACAAGCGATAAACACATGATGACATAAAGTGTCACCATGTGGATGAGGATTACCCGCGGAGAGGTCCCAGAAACTGCGTTCAGCCATTAAAACCACATTCATGACAGGGCTACATTGCGGCTCCTGGCTAGAACCAGGAGGGGCTTCACAATAACCAAAAACTGCATTCCCTAGCGGGATGAGTCGTTTAAATTCTGGCCAAAACAGTTATGGTTGTTTGTCCACTTCTGGACTTTTGTTTTGTTCCAGAATTTGAGTTTTGCTTGCACATCTGTTTTACCGATCTGATTTATTTGCATGCAGACTGTTGGTTTCTCGCCTCTTATGCACATGCACTCCGACTTTGAAGGAAACACTCCGAATTAATATCTTTCTACGACATGCTTGTTAGGTGGCAATGCATCTAATTCTCTTCCCTATTCTAAATGGGGGATCAGCAGTGGTTTAGTGACTAGTCGCTCGCATGCGGATCAGAAGATCGTGGGTTCGCTCCATGGCGGAGCCGGACTATTTTCAAAACTGACCTTGGCTCCCAGGTGGGTACCGGGTGAAGTCCCAAGGAGTAAAGGCGGCAGGCGCGATGCTGACCACATCACCCATCTTGTGCAGAAAGGTCTATACAAATATAGGTCTAGCCCTATATGCCCTATACGTCTAAAGGTATGGAAAAGGGTCGTTTATTTTTTACTTATCCTTAATAGGGGATCAGCAATGGTTTAGCGGCTAGACGCTCGTCTGCGGATCAGTAGGTCGTGGTTCGGATCCTGAAGGGGACCGGACTTTTCTCAAAAATGACCTTGGCTTTCAGGTCGACTTAGCATTGACTCGGTACCAGGTACAGTCCTGGGAAGTAAAGGCGTCCGGCGTGATGCTAACCACATCACCCACTAAGTGTCGTTAGGTTTATAAAATACAGGTCTAGCCCTATGTACCCAATACGCATAAAAGGCGTAGAAAAGGGCTCTTCGCTTTTTAACCTAAATGGGGGGAGAGGGGAAAAAGGGGGGGGGGGGGGGCTGAACCCACACGAGGAGAAAGTCATTCAAATTTTACAAGAGTCAGCTCTCTCAGTGTGGATTGCATGCAGCATTACTTCGTCCTTTCTTTGTTCACAGAAATCTATTGGATAATCTGCCTGCTTTGGTGGAGTAGTAAACCACGGCCAGCTCTAGATATAAGGCCTTCAGCTCAAACGGGAATTCCCTTTTTTTGTGAGGCTGGCGTGGTCGATCGGTGGTAACAATTGTTATCGGGTAGATTTATACACAAATTGAACTACAGTTAATTTATTTGCAACAAGTATTATTGCATGAATTATTATTTTTAACATAAATAAATGGGCTATTAGAAAATATTTATCATCAGTGGAATTGAACCAGAACACTAAAGACGGAGATTTGTGGAGATGCATCAACGCCTACGCCAGCTGGCAAGGCATTTGATGATGATGCATATCTTAGTGCATCCATTCCATTACAACCCCAAAGTATTTAACTAGATGACATGCTCCAGAGCTTATTACCCCATCACGACGTAACATAACATGAAAAGTATAACCCCTCTGATCTGTTGTCTTGCAGATGTTTCTGTGTACAATAACGGCAGTTGTGTATGCACCGGAAGCTAAGATGACTCAGCCAATTAGAACAGGTAAGTTTCGAACTTACGCCAACAACTTTTAGGTTATGGGTATTTTCTTGTCTCTCTTTCTTTTCTTTCTTTTTTTTTTTTTTAACGTTAGATCGTTTTAAGTTTACTGCCTGCTTTGGTAGTTGGGGCTGTGTTGCAACAAGATGACCGAAACATTTGATCTTCTGCTTGTCAATGAATTCGCTGTAAGCTGTTAGTCCCAAAGTCTGTCAGATATTATTTTTCTTTAAATCCCATGTGGAGTGTAATCTCTGTCTGTGTACATGGTGTTTCCGTTTGTTTTTGCATTCTACGTCTGCAGTACAAGAGTTGCCGTGTGTACGTGTTTCAGTGTTGCGTTAAACAAATTATGAAACGTTACAATAACAATGTTGTAACGTTAACATTCTTCTTCTACTTCTTCACTTCCTCTTTTACCGCTGTGGGTGTCGAGGGAGATATAAGGTTCTGTTTCTGGCTCTTCTGGCCGCCTCGACCATAGGCACATAGTGATGTTGTAGAGCTTCTCTGATGTTGTCCTTCCATCTTGTTCTTGGTCTACCTCTTGCTCTACGACCTTCTTCTCTTTCCATGTATGCTTTGTATGGTATGGTGTCACACGGCATTCTCTCTAAGTGGGCAAACCATTTCACTTGCTGTCTTTGTATGTAATTTAGAATTGGTTCTGTGCCAACTTGTTCTCTTATGATCTCATTCCTGATCTTATCTCTTATGGTCACTCCTACAGCCCTTCTCAGACATCTCATTTCCGTGGTTACTAATTTTCTTTTATGGTTTGTTGTAAGTGACCATGTCTGGCACTGGTAGCACAGAGTTGGAATAAATATGCTTTGAATAGGATGTCTCTTTGTGCTGATTGGGATTGTCTTATGCTGTAAGGGGGGGCGGGGGCGGGGGGGGGGTCTAGCTGTCCCAATACTGGATTTGCTTTACTGCATCTAATGTCAATTTCTTTATCCAATTTCCCATCTTCGGTAAATGTAGTTCCCAGATATTTAAACTCAAATGCCTGTTTAATGCCTTTGTTCTCTATTGCTAACATTAACCCACACAAAATCAGCAAATTAATCATGAAAATTAGGAAAGAAGGGAGGGAAACAGTAAGAGGGGAAAGGTTCCCATCTTAAAGAAAAACATGCAAATAGTATATTTATTAATTTTTTATATGCATAAATACATTTGTGCGTAGGCACATACTTACATGTATGCACACACATATATACATGTACACATATACACATATATGAATATATATACACGCACACAGCACATTTACATGTACATAAGAATACACGCACAACATATAACCATTAATATATATATATATATATATAATATAATATATATATATATATATATATATATATATATATATATATATATATGGTAAAAGTAACGTTGACTGGTAGTTTCTGAATCAACTAATAGAGCGAGACACATCTGTAACCTTCAGGAAAGACGGCCAGTCCAACAAACTTTTGAATGAAAACTGACCTACTTTCTTTGGGGCGATTTGCCTAAACCTAACCGTATTTTATTTATTTCGATTTCGGAAAAAGATGGATGATTCTCTTCATCACTGTGCTTTTATTTTTATTAGTGTCATAATTAGTTTTTCCAAACTTTTTTAGTTGCGTATCCTTTACAGGACGTTGCAGAACCAACCGCAGCATTTTTTTGGCTGCTGTGATTTTTCTAGGCAAATTGTGCGTTCGTTTGCCCTTTATTTCAGCGCTCGGTACCCCTGTCGAAAACAACGCAAGACAAATAGTCTGCAGCTGGAACCGAACCTGGGACCCCAGCATTACGTAGCGCGTTCGCAACGCCTAAGCCACAGATGTCAAGCTTTGTACACTGTTGGAAAGGAGAACTGTGTCGACTGCATTTCCGAGTGTCTGAGATATGTTTGCCTCCACTTGTGACTGGATGGAAGCTGTCCCAGGCCTCGTCACTAATTGTATCTCCCATAATATTTCCAGCTTATATTGTAATCTTAGCCTGCTTAAATAGTCTAGATAAAAACTTTTTCTTCTTCTTCTTCTTCTTCTTCTTCTTCTTCTTCTTCTTCTTCTTCTTCTTCTTCTTCTTCTTCTTCTTCTTCTTCTTCTTCTTCTTCTTCTTCTTCTTCTTCTTCTTCTGCTTCTTCTGCTTCTGCTGCTTCTGCTGCTTCTGCTGCTTCTTCTTCTTCTTCTTCTTCTTCTTCTTCTTCTTCTTCTTCTTCTTCTTCTTCTTCTTCTTCTTCTTCTTCTTCTTCTTCTTCTTCTTCTTCTTCTTCTTCTGTGGCGGGTAACTTCGCTTTAACTAGCGAATGCACTATGTGCACTTTACAGAGGGAATTGCAAACGGTGAAACATCAAAAAGTCTTATAGTAACCCCAGCCTTGCTGGTTAAATGAGAGGATTCGGGGTTTGCCCACATCTTATTCCCTGCTGTAATTAAGATTGTATATTTAAATGTTCTTAAGTTCACTGACAATGTTTACAGTTAAAATGAAACTTCATAAAACTGTAGGAACATTAAAACTAACATTTATTAGGATTTTCAAATCAATATAAATTCAAATGATAACTAAATGGCTGTGGATATAAAATCCGGTTATAAAAGGTAAGTGGTCAACTGTCCACTTAGCTGTAGCTTAGGTTTATGTTGTCAGCTTCTGACTAAGCTTCGGAAACACATCAGGCAGGCCGAATCTTCCAGTCCAGTCCGGACAATCGGGTATCTGCAGCTTAGCTTAGGATCTACTTCTGGACTCCCACCTGTATGTACCATCTGGAATACAATCTGGAACTAGAACAATAGAACAGTCCTTATACAAACAGTCAGGAAGGTTCTAACTGGAGACAACAATACCTCCAGTCTTTAAACTGTTACACTACACACATATATATGGAGTAGGATAGTAACAGGTGTTCACATTCTACTGGTATAGAATGGGAATGTATACAGAACATGGTCCATAATCCTGATGGGGAAATATTTAGGAAACCAGTTTCATGAATACTCTCAAGAACAAGAGTTTACAGCACACAAAAAGAAAGGACATTCCTCAGTGTAAATTGTTCTGATGTCTGCACACTAGTACTCCTTTAAAGGGTTAACATGCTTACACACACAGACATACACAGTCATATTTCACAATATTCTCATTTTAACCACATGGGTTCACATCACAAAGAATGAGAAACAGGGATTGAGTTTACCAAGACAAGGAACTCATAACAGGTGCTTTGCACTGTTTGAAAACAAATGGGATTGACATATCTCTATCAATATACTGGGTGATGAGATAGATGTCAAAATACAATCATAGATGACAATGGGCTTTCCATCTGTCACAGTATTAACATAAAATATACAACACTCACTCCAGTTTAAATCTAAATCCACACATGTGCTAATCTTATTCAGCAGAGTTTAGAAGTAGGGAAGGTTGAAATATAATTATTACAATTGTAAGGCCACCTGCTGCATTACTGAAATATTCCTAGTAATGGTGGAAATATATATACAACAATAATAATTACAAGCATGGGCCTTACATCTCTTTTCTGCTTCTTCTTCTCTGACAGTGTGAATATTAAATTCAGCCTCACTGTGTTATTCACTTTCCAAGCTCTTAAACTAGTCTCAGAATTATCTGGACTAAATCTAAATTAAAGCAAGACAGTAATTTATCAAGCTAATATCACCATGAGGTAAAATCAACTTAGAAGGGATTAGGTATAATGAATATAAACTTCATTCCTGTTTTTAATTGTCTAAGCTGGAAACAGGAACTGGCTGAGATTTCACATGAGGACATAATTATCACTTAATTAATATAAGTATAATTATTAAAAATACCAATGCACGTTTCTAGTAGCAAATAAACATTAATTCAATCATCAAATCGATAATATGTTTGCATACATGTACATACTAGATCATAAATGTGGTTAGTGAGGATAAAGAAATTTATCATAGTTTTTGAGCCATGTGGGCATTAAATTTCAGAATTTAACCTGTGAAATTAATTCAGAGGAATAAGCAGCAATACATCAAATTAAACTTATTCTTTTAACTCACCCCTGGCAGGGAATTCAAACAGAAAATTGGACCACAGGCAGACTAACAACTTTAGGTCTGAACCGGTCAATTTCTGAATTGAAAAGGGAACAGGAAGTCAGGAGGAAGTAACTCTTCAGTCCCCCTTGCCCTACTCTTCGCCTATATTACCTTTCAACTCTTTAATTATAATTTTGCTCCAATGAAGCATTAAGAAAGGGGTAAGAAATTTCTTAATTAATCCAGTGTTATTATGCTAATTAAAAGCAATAGGAAAATGTTTAGAACTTTGGTAATAATATTATCTAAACAAAGCACTTTTTAAAAGGACAGAAACAGCTGTCCAGACCAGCTCGTCACATCTTCTTCTTCTTCTTCTTCTTCTTCTTCTTCTTCTTCTTCTTCTTCTTCTTCTTCTTCTTCTTTTTCTTCTTCTTCTTTATCATCATTCCGAGCCCTTGAGGTTCAATGCTGTAGATATCACCCGCCTCCATTCATCTCTCTGGTCGGTCTTCTATTTCCAGTTGGCAACACCAAGTGTTTGCAGGTCTGTCTGTACATTATTTCTCTTTCTTCTTGGTCTGCCTCTTGGTTTACGAACATTTATCTCCCTTGTGTATACAGTTTTCACTTCGCTATCATTTGATATTCTTTCAATATGCCCTAGCCATTTCAGTCTATTAGCTCTCATGATGCCAGTGATCAATGGGCATTTAAACAGATTAGGAATTTCGTTGTTGCTTCTCATAATATAAGATAATTTTATAATAAAATAATATAAGATAAAGATGTCATTGTTCTAAAAGGCCTACCTATAATTTCTACGTCTGCTCCACAGAGAAGTACGTGGAACTCAGCTGTGATTGGCCCTTGCCAGGGCTGGGTTCGTTTCTGGCCTACAATATCATCCTGGTGTTCCTCTGCTCTATCTTTGCCTTTAAGACCCGCAGGTTGCCCGATAACTTCAACGAGTCCAAGTTGATAACCCTCTGCGTGTACACTACACTGGTCATCTGGGCCGCTTTTATCCCTAGTTATTTCACGGCTTCCAGCCAGGTGGGGTTGTGTGGAGTTTGTCTTGTGTAGTGTTTGTTTGATGTGAGGTTAGTTTCTTGTCGGGTTTATCTTGTGTGGGTTTGGTCTGGTGTGGGTTTTGTCTGGTGTAGTGTTTGTCTAATATTGGGTTTGTCTGAGGCGGTGTTTGTCTAATGTGGGGTTTGTCTGCTTTGGGCTTTGTCTGATGAGTGTTTGTCTAATCTGGGGTTTGTCCGTTTTGGGGTTTGTCTGATGTAGTGTTTGTCTAATCTGGGGTTTGTCTGTTTTGGGCTATGTCTGATGCGGGGTTTTCTAATAGGGGGTTTGTCTGATTTGGGGTTTTTATGGAGAGGAGCTTGTATTATGTCAGGTTTGTCTTGTGTGGAGCTTGTATTATGTCAGGTTTGTCTTGTGTGGAGCTTGTATTATGTCAGGTTTGTCTTGTGTGGAGCTTGTATTATGTCAGGTTTGTCTTGTGTGGAGCTTGTATTATGTCAGGTTTGTCTTGTGTGTGGAGCTTGTATTATGTCAGGTTTGTCTTGTGTGGAGCTTGTATTATGTCAGGTTTGTCTTGTGTGGAGCTTGTATTATGTCAGGTTTGTCTTGTGTGGAGCTTGTATTATGTCAGGTTTGTCTTGTGTGGAGCTTGTCTGGAGGAAGGTTTGTCTGATGTTGGATTTATCTGGTGTGGGGGTTTGTCTGTTGTGGTAAGGGCCTTGCATTGGAATTGTTTGTTGTGAGGTTTGTCTGGTGTGGAGTATGTCTTGTGTGACGTTTGTTTGGTGTGGAGTATGTCTTGTGTGTCGTTTTTCGGGTGTGAAGTTTGTCTGGTGTGGAGTTTGTCTGGTCTGGCGTTTGTCAGGTTTTGAGTTTGTCTTGTGTGGAGTTTGGTGTAGTTTATATCAGTAAAATAACTGTGGTAGCGGTATGTATATGTAAAGTAATGGTAGTGGTAGTAGTTGTAGTTGTAGTAGTAGTAGTAGTAGTAGTAGTAGTAGTAGTAGTAGTAGTAGTAGTAGTAGTAGTAGTAGTGGTAGTAATATTGATCGTAGTAGTAGCAGTAGTCGTAGTAGTAGTAGTAGTACTAGTAGTAGTAGTAGTAGTAGTAGTAGTAGTAGTAGTAGTAGTAGTAGTAGTAGTAGTAGTGGTAGTAATATTGATCGTAGTAGTAGCAGTAGTCGTAGTAGTAGTAGTAGTAGTAGTAGTAGTATTAGGAGCAGCAGCAGCAGCAGCAGCAGTAGTAGTAGTAGTAGTAGTAGTAGTAGTAGTAGTAGTAGTAGTAGTAGTAGTAGTAGTAGTAGTAGTAGTAGTAGTAGTAGTAGTAGCACCCACAGTAGCAGGCCCCTGTGTGGGTTCCGGGACCCTATTATAGGAAAAACAAGAATAGACCCACTGCCTACCTAAAAGTATGTAGTAAGAGTCTACTATTTAGTAGCTTCCTTCAAAAGGGATCGTAATCAACAGTCTTCGCACCAATGTGCCAGATCCGTCGAACGGATGCACACGCAACACTAAGTGTCTGAGCAGGATTGCAGTCCAGAAGTGGACGAACAACCAGAACTTTCCACCAGAGTTTACAGCTGGTAAACGCAAAGAAGAATAAGAAGCAGCCGCAGTAGCAACAGCAGCAATGTGTAGTGGTGTTAGTTGTAGGAGAAGTGGTTTATTGTTGTGGTGGTAGTAGTTGTAGTAGTTGTAGTAATAGCAGCCGTAGTAAGGTGTTGCCAGTCACATTGTTAGTACTATGACCTTTACTCCCAGATCGACTCATGCTTGAATGGGTACCAGACCAAGTGGAGTTCTGGGAAATAAAGGTGGCCGGCGTGATGCTGACCACATCACCCAACGAGTGCCGATTTGTCTTTAAAATATAGGTCTAGCCCTACATGCCCAGTACATCTGAAGGCGTTGAAAAGGACCCATTTATTTGCCTACTTTATTTATTGTTAGTACCTTTCTTGTGGTAGTAGCAGTGGTTGTGGATGTAGCAGTAGTTTCTGAAGTCGTCGTGGTTTATATAGTGGTTGTGGTAGTAACAGCAGTAGATGTGGTTGTAGTAGTAGTTGTTGTAGGGGTGATGGTAATAGTAGTAGTACCACCACCAGCAGTAGCAGTAGTAACAGCAGCAGCATTAACGGTGGTAGTTTCAGTATTAGTAGTAGTAATTGTTGTAGCTGTAGAAGTAATGGTAATAGTAGTATAGCAGCAGCAACAGCAGCTGTCGTAGTAGTAGTGGTAGCATCTGCAGCAGTAGTAATGACACTAACTGTGTTATAATGACTGTTCGTGCAACTGTAGAAAACGTATATGATATATATATATATATATATATATATATATATATATATATATATATTTATATATGTAAGTAAAAATATCCCTTTTCATGCCTTAGGCGCATCGGGCATATGGGAAGAGCATCCCATATTTTTAACAGACCAATCGGCACTAGTTGGGTAATGGATATATATATATATATATATCAGAGTGTGATCATTTGCTCTGAATAACCAATTTCTCTCCCCAGACGGTGAAAACGCTTCTTTTGGCCTTATCTCTTCTGGCGAACCACACAGTTGTGGTGGCTTTCCTCTTCCTTCCGAAGATCTACGCCGCCGTGAACCTCATCCCAACGATATCACTATCCTCAACCAGCATCGATGACAACCATCGGCGCAGCAGTCTCGTCTCCTCCATCCACAACGTCCACAACACTCGGTTCCTCACAGGCCTCTCTGAGGTTCTCTTCGAGCCCTTCGTGCCCTCTCTCAGGCGCCTGCCATGGTCAGATGCTGGGAATCTCATTCTTCTTCTTCTTTGGCATTCCGAGCCCTTCATTTTCATTGCTGCAGATATCACCCGCCTCCATGTATCTCTCTGGTTGGCCTTCGCTTCCTAGTTGGTGACACCAAGTGTTTGCAGGTCTGTCTAGATATTATCTCTCCATCGTCTTTTTGGTCTGCCTCATGGTCTACGACCATTTATCTCCCTTGTGTGAGATTTTTGAAATACTTTTTTTTTTTTTTTTTAAATCTAGAAACAATGAAAACCATTTGACTCGGTACAATGGATATAGGAACTCTTCGGCTTGGATTCCTTGATAGATACCAGAAATCTGGCAAACTTTGAGTGTTTCTGCCAACCCCGGGCGTGAACTCGGACCACAAGGAGTTTGTCACCCAGTCTCCGCTCAGCTGGTTTAACCCACTTAGATGGACAGATGAAAAGTGTAATAAAGATTTCTTGACAGAAACTGACACATGAAGAGAACTGACCTCAAACATCAAAAGAGACAATCCACACTTTTTGGTGAAGAGAAGGAGATAATTGGAGTACCTTGTGACAGCGGGAAAGTCGGAGGGAAGGTAAAAACAAAGAGGCAGAGGGAGGCAGAGAGAGAGAGAAGATGCTGGAAATTTTAATATCATGGTATAGAAATTTATCTGTGCCAGAAATGAATGAAAGTAGACGAGATAAAGAGTTTGTGGACAGACACATCCAACATGGTTTCATGTCATGACTATGTGAAGAAGAAATATATACAATATATATATATATATATATATATATATATATATATATATATATATATATATATATATATATATATATATATATGCCAAAGAGAGTGCTAAAATGTTAGATAGATTCTCTTCTGCTGTATGGCATCGAATCTTGGAATGTCAGTGAACAAATTAGGAAGAATTTGGAAGCAACAGAGATGTGGTTTTTGTGACTTATGTTACGAATACCTTGGACGGCCAGAGTAACAAACAACGATTTCTTGAAAAAAGCTAATAAAAGTAGATGTCTATTTAGAACAATAAGAAAGAGACAAACACTGTTCTTTGGCCACATAATGAGAAGAGAGACATTGGAGAACATCGTGACAACTGGAAAGATCAGTGGGAAAAGGGGTAGAGGCAGACCAAGAGAGATGATGCTGGATGGGCTGAAACGATGGCATGGAAGGATATCACCAAGAGAGCTGTTCAAGTCAACCAGGGATCGTGATCTGTGGAGACGCATGGGCGCCTACGCCAGTTGGCAGGGCACATGATGATGATATATATATGGCAACTTCCGGTCGAAATGGACGCTAGGCAGGGGCACTGTTCGAGGCAGAGGCAAATTGTTTGCTTCTGCCGGACGGTAACCGATGTATTTTTGCTTCATTTGTTGACTGGATATCGTTTCGTCACCCAGCTTCTGAGCTAAATGCATGACGTGACACTGTGAGCTGCGGATTTAACTTAAAATGTTTTTTCGACTGTGACCAACGTGGTGGTGTGAATTGTAGATTCAGAAAATGGCGCGATGCCTGTCGTGCAATGTTGGTGGTTCCCGCATGTTATTAAAATTGATCGCGTGGGCAACTGCTGATCTGTTGGTGACTTCTGCTCACATCAATGAAGAACTGCATTTCTAATGTCGGACTGTTTGTGTTAGCACTTCAGATGGCTACCGTATGCTTTAATGCGAGTGTATGCTAGATATGCTGAAACAGCAGTCTGTCAATCTTTCCACAAGGGACTGCGAGAAACATTCTGTGTGTTTTTCGTTGGCACAGGAGCGGAGCAAAGATGGGGTGACCCCTTTGCTATGAAGCTGAAACTAAGACTACCAGAATATCAGACATATATACCAACTACTGCGGAGAAAAGAGTGTTGCAGTGCTATTCTGACTTGGTGGTTTTTTTAAAAATTATTATTATTATTATTATTATTTTTTCATGTGAGACTTGTATAAGAAAACAAAAATTGAAACAACGGGAATTAATTGTCTGACTCGAACATCCGTCTCGTCTTTCCCTTGAGTGGTGAGCGTCGGCCAGATCCCTGGGCAACTCATCGCAGTGCCATTCTCGTCGGTCAGACATATATAAATATATATGCACGCAGACCTCGTTAATATGAACTCATTTAAAAGAACATTAGTCTAACATAAACAAAATAGTGGTCCTAGCAAGAACTATTATTATCACTACGAGTACCCGGTTAGCTTAATAATAAGCACTTGTGGGATGCAAATTTTCGTTATTTTCCCTGGGCTCTAAATATAGCCGGGCCTCAAATATGGCCCAACTGTTGAACGGGGTTTTCACGACCTCTCCACGGGTGGTCCTCATCCGTGTGGTGGTTCCTTGTGTAACCGGGTGTTTATCGCTGGTGTGATGTCCTGGTGGGGTACAACTTTCACACCTACCTACCTACCCGGTTAGCATCACTTTTTTTTTAAAAACACTAATTCAATTTTTGGCGCATTACAATTCGTGATAACATGGTTTACCCAATATGTGTGTTTGTGTGTGTGTGTGTGTGTGTGTGTGTGTGTGTGTGTGTGTGTGCACGCGTGCGCGTGTGCGCGCGCGGATGTGTAAATGGGAATTTTTAATTTCTTTTAAAAACAGAACGGAAAAAAAGCTGTTATGCTGTCAGTAGAATTCTATTTTATTTACTTGTCATATCACAAATCAATATTGAACATGCAATTAAAATTATTTCATCAATAAACGAGGAATAAAGACATACAAAAACTGCTCAGTTGGTAGAGTATAGTCTGGCAATTTAAAAATGTTCGCATTTATTGTGTCTGATGGGGTCGTAGAGTAACAACACAGAAACGTTTCATGCATGTCAAATAAGGCGACTTGGAATGTTGCGGTAATATGGCTGATTCATTATGTAGATAACTCAAAAAGTGTAGCTAGACAGTTCAGTTGTTCAGTTTTCTTCTTCTCCTTCTTCTTCTTTTGTTGTTGTTGTTGTTGTTGTTGTTGTTGTTGTTGTTGTTCTTCTTCTTCTTCTTCTTCTTCTTCTTCTTCTTCTTCTTCTTCTTCTTCTTCTTCTTCTTCTTCTTCTTCTTCTTCTTCTTCTTCTTTCTTCTTCTTTCTTTCTTCTTCTTCTCTTCTTCTTCTTCTTCTTCTTCTTCTTCTTCTTCTTCTTCTTCTTCTTCTTCTTCTTCTTCTTCTTCTTCTTCTTCTTCTTCTTCTTCTTCTTCTTCTTCTTCTTCTTCTTCTTCTTCTTCTTCTTCTTCTTGCTTTCTTCAACTTCTCCTTCTTCTTCTCCTTCTCCTCCTCCTTTTCTACTATTTTTTTTTTCGTTAGCTACATTTTTTAACACTTTTAGTTCCAGGCAGGTATTACTCACCTCAATAATTCCTAAGTATTTACTACCTACAGTTGTTTAGATCCGTGGGGGTTAAGTTAGTAACAATGAGGGGCCAAAAGGGTTGAAGTAATACTTACTGCTTTCTTAATATCCTACGCCAAACAGGGGAAATCCACAGGTCACGGGCCAGTCTAATATTTCACGGGGTGGTAGAAAGGCTGCATGAAGTCGTAGGGCCTAGGCTGCACTCTCTCGTGCGACGTAGGTGGGTTGAGATTAGGCCCAGTTCTAGATGATTTGGGAAACCCAGTCTAATACTCTGGTCAGCACTGGTTATTATAACAGCTACTTAGGAAACAAAACGTTTAGAAAAGACATTTTACATATGTAGTATTCAATACACGCACGGTAAGTTTCTTGGGACTTAGTGAGTTTGAAAAAAACAAAAACAAACTACGCCGTAACAAGAAAAGGAGCACCGGAGAATATTGTGACGACTGGAAAGATCACTGGTAGAAGAGGCAGAGGCAGACCAAGAGAAATGATGATGGATGGGTTAAGACAGTGGCATGGAGGAAGAGTTGATCCAGAACACCAAAGACGGAGATTTGAGAGATGCATAAACGCCTAAGCCAGCTGGCAAGTCACTTGATGATGATGATGATCATAGGGACTACGTGGGAACATTCCAGGAACAATCCAATATTATAAAGGGGGGGGGGGGGGGGTATGTTTTGTGTTAGTCGGTATTCATTTTACACCCTAACACCCCTACACTATTCGACTTCCGAGAATTCCCCTACGAAATCTTGGAGTACCTGAGATAGAGTGAACTAAAATAAATTAAAAGGACCCAAATCTACGCCTTCCCCCAAGTAACAGGAAGTGACCATAACTGACCGACACCATATGAACTACACAAACTACAAGATATTTACACAATCCATAAAAAGTCCTTGACCGAGTTCAACCTGATATGTTAACCTCGTTAATTTGGACAGGCCCGACTGGTCATTAGGTTCTCTGGTGAGTAATGTTTGGTTAGTTCGACATTAGTCTCCCCAGACCCCCCCCCCCCCATATACACACTAGCTCCCTTCTGATTGGTAGTTCCTCAGCCCTGTAACTTTCGCACACCTGGTTACGGGTGTGTTCCGCAATGCCGTTGATATCGCGTGTTGTATATTTCACTTTGCGAGCGCTTTTAACACTCCAAACACATGGATAAACTTGTCCTAAGACACACACCCCCCCCCCCCCCTAGAGCGAGCTGTAACCTATGTCACAGGCATTCTCTATCTCGGAAGAAAACAGAAAAATGCAAGACATGCCAGAAAGCAAAAAACAGAGCGGCACATCCGTAACACCCAGGAAATTAGACCAGTCCATCAAAGTTCTAAATGGAACGTGACCTACTTTGTTTGGGTACACTAACGTTTGTTTAAATGCGTAATGTTTTCCTATGTCCTTCGACGCCATTACACATTGGACCTCTTCTAGTTACGGAAGATGCGATGCTACGGAATAATAAGATCTAATAAGTACTCTCTCTAAAAAAAAAAAGCAGACCAAGAAAGGCCTAGATACAGAACTTGACTAAGGCATTC